CAGGTTGTGAACACTGCAGGGGAACGTGTAAATTCCACTGGAAAGCTTTTTAATCACAAAAAGCTTTTATAAACAGGTCTCTTCATTTATTAATAAAAGTTTACTTTTACCAAACCTTAATTTTGGGCCTAACTTAACTTGATAGTGTCCCTTTTATTAGTAGTATTTACTATTTTGTTAGGCCGATTCACATACTAATTACTTTTGATTATAAGCCCTTCCTGATATCTAGCCTGAATCTTGCCTTAGCTTAAATTTGTGTTCTCTTATTCACACTATTAGAACAAAGGTGGAATGTGTTCATATCAAGATCTTTGTTGCTTATATAACTTGTATATCATAATTACTAGTAAATGTCTGTAGCACTACCAGGCTCTCCGTGTTTCTGAGGCAGCATTCCATCCTCTCTTCCCCCCCCGCTCCGCCCCCCCAAAAAACACACACAAACAAACAACAAAAACTTAAAACCAATGCCACTTCAACTTTAGTTTTTAGGGATCTATGAGTCAGATTCTGCCAGACATTACTTGCAAGTATTTCATTGTAGAAAGAGGGATATAAAAACTTCTGAAGCAGGAGAGAAGATGTTTACCTGAGGGTTTTTTGGTTCCTCCTTAAAAGGCCAAAAGTAAGCAGTTTGGTTTGAAGGTCCAATCTTAATGTTTGGCTCAGTGCTTACACTTAACTGTTTTGCTCTCTCCTCTTAGCAGCTTGGTAGAAGCACTTACTACAGACCAGCCCCATGTGACAATTGTTGCTTTGTTACAGATCAGAAGTCTGGTCAAAATCGGCTCCACCTCTTCCACATGAACCATATTGCTCTGGAAGACCACCAGGTAGACAAGTATCCTTACCAAACCGATTACAAGAAGAGCCAGCCCCCAAGGGTGTGGTGACCAAGAACGATGAAGCTCTGCAGAAGATTAGTGCTCTAGAAAATGAACTTGCCAGTTTAAGGGCACAAATAGCCAAAATTGTAATCTTGCAAGAACAGCAGAATCTGCCAGCAGGTATTAAACTCTGTCTCACTTTCATATCAAATTAGCTAAAAAGGAATCTGCTCTTTTAAAACTGATTGACCGATACGTGTAAGTATAATGAAGTCATTTTTGTGAGATATTGCAGGATTGATAGTGAAGTTTGTAGGGTTGTAAGAAGTGCTAGCACCAAATTTCATTTACAGTGGTTGTACAGAGCCTCACTGAGGCTTGATTCCAGGATATCTGTGCTGTCTTACTGTGAAACTACAGTACAAAGTAAACTTGCAGGTGATGGGTAAAAGGCTCTTTTTTTTTAAATTCCATCTGGAGTTGTGGGATGGAAATTGAAACCTGTGAGAGGAAAACAGTGTGTGCCCTTTACTAGCCTAGTTGTACATGAATGGGTTTATTCATATGCAGTAGTGAACTACCGTGGAAACCTAAAACTTGATTGACCATGAGCCATAGTCATGTTATCTGATTTCCATTGTAAAGAGCAAATGGTGTTTTTCACCACCAAGTCGTAGCTGATAGACGTGCGTGTAGTGGTGTGATGGCAACTCCCCAAAACCTGCCTGACTGGTGGTCAGAATTTATCTATTAAATATCAAATAGATGAGACTTCAGATATTCACTATCCTAACCTTCTGCAGATCAGGTTTAGTATTAACTCCTCCTTCTGCCTGGACTTCACGTTATTTTCACTTAACACGTTCAAGAGAGTGGGTACAGTATACTAACAGGGACCACACAGATGTTTCTCCAATGGTAGAGGGGGACCAACACCTCCAGATTCTTATATTTCCTACTTTTAAAAATCATTTCTTCAAATATTTGTGCAGAGTGTCTTGAGTTCTGAATTCTGCAGATAATTAGCATTTAATAGGATTTCTAGAACAAAGCTTGGCGCAAATATGAATGAAACCAAAGGCATAATATAGCTGTTAAGTATTATAAGGATACTTAAGTCCCACAGAGTATCAGTAATATGTCATGAGGTCTAGTGTCACTGAGATACTAAATATGCTTTTGGAATATAATACATATTTCAAATGGCTTACGAAACAGTGACATGTTGCTAGAAATGTTCAAGGACAGCAGAAATCTCTAACGAACTTCAGTGCTTATTACATGACTAAGAATAAGTAAGCACGGTACCTGTGATATCTTCTCACAGCTTATAACAGACCTAGTACTCTTCAGTGAATTGTAACTTGTTACAATGGCTGCTTATTTCTTAGTATTGGTTTCTAATATCATTGACTCACTTGTCTCTGGGGCAGAAGTTCACAAGTTAAATCCTCCCCATGAAAATGGGCTCATATAAGTCAGTTCAATAACACACAAGGGCTTTGGGGCAGGAGGAAAGGGTTGAATTGCTATAGGAGCCATTCTTGGGATCAGATGTTGGTCTGAGGGCTCTTGAGTGCCAATTTCTGTTCAGATGGAAGCTAAAAATCATACAGGGCCCCTGATATGAATGTCCTAACCTCAGTCCCATAGTCAGCATCACTCCGAACCCCAACAATACTTTATATTATATAGCACCTTCCACTGAGATACTTGGCGTGCTTTACAAACTTGAATTGTTGCAGCTCACAAGGATAGTAGGGCCTATTTTGTATTCTGTATCCATTACAGATAGGAATGAAGGGTGAGAAACTGCGTTAGAGGTTAAGTGACTTGGCCACAGTCACCTAGCAGGTGTGTGGGAAAGCTGGGAATAGGTATACTAATTCTTTCCTGGGCTTTAGCCATTAGATCATGAATGCTGGCTCTCCTGACAAGGTTGAGTTCAGTATCCAAATCTGGGAGCGAATAGGGAAATAATGTGACCACTATATGTGCAATTGACTCATTGCACTGAAATAGTTTGAAAGATAATTCAGTTCCATTCCTCCTTTGACAGCAACAGTAGCTTGAAATTAACACACTTCTAAACATACCAAATTGCTAAAATGCTAATAATCACCTAAATGACACATGCCCTTGGTTAATATTTTTTCTAGGTGTGATTTTTTTCCTTCTGTTCAGTAGAAGGCTTTCATCTAGATTTTAATTTAAATAACATTTTCCTTTACCTCCCTCTTCTGGTAGAATATGGTAACTGCTTTAAATATGTTAACATTATACATCTGTCTGTCCACGATAGTTGGTTTGGTTCACTTTTAAGATTAATTAAGGGTGGGTGGGGTGAAGATTTTTGTTAAATAAAAATAAGGTCCCAATTTGCATGAGCAGAGTCAGTGACTTAAATTCCATAGACGTCTTTTAGAAACAAAACACTTGGGAAGTTCTCACTCTCTGCCAAGACCTGTGTAATATCTTTGGTGACTCCTGTAACACTGACTTAATATTCACCTAAAGTGGTGCAAGAAGCTTTAATTTTAGATTTTTGTTACAACCTAATTGGTTCAGTCAGTTGCCAAATCTCTCCTCTTGAGTCTTAAGAAGACATTCAAAAAACTTAAAGAAAAACATGGGTGGTAACAGAAACAAGGTGAAGACTTTTTAACTGGGCTTCACACAACTTTCTGACCTCTGCCATTCAGGTTTAAGAATCTCACAAGAGAAGTCCTTCCTTTCTGAAAATAATTAGCACGAATAACTACTGCTTATCTAGGGATTGTGATTACAGTCAATAAGCAATTTCATTTAGAATCTTGTCTTGGCAAATGACGACAAGTATAATTGGAATTTTTACTTGGGATGCATTCATTGCTGTTGTCCGGCCAAACTGTTATTAATGTGTAAAATTATTTCTAAACAGTGATTTCTTCCAGACACAGTGGCTGCCTTAAGAATATAACTTTGCATTGCCTTTCAAACTCTCTCCAAGCATCATTAAATACTGATAGACCCCAACAAGGGGCAGAGTTGGTGGAAACAGGTCCTGGTGTTGAACAAGTTTTGTAGGTCTGACATGGATGTGCATCTACTGTTAGTATCTGAACTGGGAACTGAACATCCTTTTGGAACAGTAATTAGCTGAGGTGATTGTTTTAATGCTGTCATTTTTAGGCGGTTTAGGACTTAAACCGGGCCAGTAGTCTTGTGACAAGACAACCTTTTGAGGAAAAAATAAATTGATGTGCAGCAAATCTGTTCCTTTTCAAAATACTTAATGTATCAAGCTTTCTTTAAAAGGGCATTTAGTTCTTACGGGGAATGAATGTCTTGGTGTGTTTTAGCTGGATTAAGTCCTACTGCATCAGCTCCTGCACCACCACCACCACCTCCTCCTCCACCGCCTCTTCCACCTCCTGGGGTACATCGGAGTATGTCTGCTATTGATCTCATTAAAGAGCGGAAAGGCAAGAAAATAAACGCGGGACAGACTTTGATAGATAATGGTCCAAAGAAGCCTGAAATACCAAATATGCTAGAGATCCTCAAAGACATGAACAGTGTCAAACTGCGTGCAGTGAAAAGGTGAGTATACAATAACTTGTGTTATTTTATTAATGCAAAGTCTTACTCAATAGTTTTCATGGAGAAACATTTGAATTTTGGACTGTTGCTGATCTAACATTTGAAAGGCAGCAGGGGACTGCAAAGATGCTCTAACTACATTCTAAAGACTTGCTGTGACTGTTAATTTCCCTTTCCCTTTGAAGACCAGCAGAAGGCGCAACATGCAAATCACCTGACCCAACTGATCCTGTAGCACTAATAGCTGAAGCTCTCAAAAAGAAATTTGCTTACCGATACAGAAGTGATAACCAAAGTGAAACGGAAAAACAGATTCCAGAGTCTGAAACAAAGGCAAAGTCTGAAATGATGCTGGTGAGTATTGAGATTCTGGACACATCCTGGGATTCGGTCCTACATACATTAAAGCCGAGGTAAATCTCTCTTCAAAAACCTTAGCTGGCTCTCAGACCAGCTCCACAGAACCCCAGTGAGAATCCAGAAAGCTTGGCTTGTGCATCAGCAGTGCTGGGGAGTGGAGAGACGGTCATTCAAAGCACTGTAGGGGGCAACTTTATTTCGGGCTTCTGCTGACCAGGTAAACCATGAGCAGGCTAGAGAGGTTTTATTGTATCACTAAGACCTTAAAAGACAGCTGGGTTCCATTTTAAAAATACATTAATCATGGTGCTGGGAAAACTCATTAAATTGTGTTTTTAAAAGATTGAAATTGAAGTGAAACTCCAATGGTAAGTGTTCAGAAATTCTTTCAAGTAGTGCCTGCAATGCATCTCTCTGCATTTCTAGTGAAATCCAGTTTTGCTGGGCAGTAAACTTTGCCTGCAGTCTGATCAGCAGTCATTGAGCATTGTGGGCTAGAAAGGGAGAACAAATAAATGATCAGATTAATCTCTTGCACTTCACTCAGCTTGGAAAACAAAAGTGAAAGCAAACAACAAAAGAGGTAGAAAGCCTAATAACCTTACTCATACAGCTGGTTGTGTTCTGGGCCTGACTGAGGAAGAACTAGATTACCAACCATAAGCACTCAAAAATCAGGAGATTTAAAATAATAAAGGTTGGGTTTTCTGGTGTACATTCAGGTCACATTTCTTCTCTACAACCATGAGGGCTATAATTTTTTGTAACAAGGGCTATTATTACTTGATTACTTGCCTCCAGGAGCTGGGAATTTTAAGAGCACAAATGTCACAAGACTTGAGAGAACATGGAATTAATATTTGACTTGTGGCATGGAATGTTCATTACTATTTCCACTCTGAGACTGTGATCCATCTTTTGTTGGGGCAAGGGATTGGATGGTAAACATCAGAGGCTAATGGAACCAGCTGGAAGCCTTTGACAGAGAATATTGTGGTGGTGACCAACACTAGTTGTGGTCTAGTAACATTTTTAACCTTATCAGTTACTGGGAGTGGCCCTTAGGCAGCCTTCTCCTCCCTCCCCCCCGTCTGGTCCTCACATTTCATTATACGTGATTTACAGAGGACTTGCAACAGGTGCAGGAAAAAATCTGTCAACAGACTTGTTCTGGGAGCGGAGTCATCTAGTTGATCTGAGTAACTTCACTTGGTTCCTGATATGCATTTCCCCTGTGAGACAATTTCTAGTTAACTTTGTGGGTAAAATGCATCTAAATCTAATCCCCATTTGCATCCATGGCAGCAAGGCAAAGTGGACAAATGATGGGTGGCCTCTGCTTGAGTTCTAGGGTCACTTATGAATTTGGATTATAAAATGATGCTACAATTTCCAGGATCTGTACATATTGTAATGTACTTGTTTTTCCCTTTTCAGTTTGGACCACACATGCTGAAGCCTACAGGAAAAATGAAGACTTTAATTGAAAAATCTTAACTACTTTTATATCACTACAAGAGACTATTCAGCTGCTTTTATTAGAAATCAGTGTTATGTAGTAAGTGTCTCTTGGTATTTAGTGCCCTCCTACAAAACAAACCAAAAAAAAATACTGATATAAAATTATAAAAACGTAGTGCCTTTGTTTTACATTTTGAGGTCTAGAGGTACTTGTCCTTATGTGACTTTTAACAAGAGGGTTGAGTTGAGAGACAGTACAAGTTTTTAAACCTATAAAGTAAACTTTAAAATCTAGCTTTCAGTACCTAAAATACTAAGACTTTTTTCTGTGGTGGTTTTAACACTAATTTATCTGTACAAATGTTTTTATATACGTGACTGACAGTCTTCAGACAGTTCGTGTAAATGATAATAATGGGAATGAAGTACTGTCAGTCATTTTCTCTCTCATGTAATAGCTGATGTAACAAGTTTCTTTCGCTGCAGAATTTAGTTTGAGACTAGCAACTTCTGTTCCAAATGAGATCTCATTAGTTTAACACAGCTTTTGCTGGTTTTAGCCTAAAAAGCATAAACAGCTCATGCAAGGGTATGAAACTATTCAGTTAATAATGGAGAAACAGATAATCTCTGATAAGCTTCATTGATTTTACTTGTTACAAAGCTGAGTGGTATGGAATAGAGCATTTCAAAAATAGCAAGATTTCTCAAATGAGATTGCCCTTCTCTCAATGCAGAATGTTCTGTTTTTTCCCTCCAATACATATAGTGCCTTAAAGGTGAATTTGATCTTGAGCAACTGGCCACAGTTAGCTTCAGGTTCAGTCCTCTGTCAAAAGGTAGACCAATGTGTGTGAAATAGGGTAGAATAGCAGTGTAGATTAAGATACTTCAGACAGAATGTCAGGGTATGTGTCTGAGTGAGCAAATGTGGAAGTCACAAAGTAGTAGAGATGAGAAGAAATGGAGTGCTTATAAAATGAACTATAGGGTGTTTGTCAGTAAAATCTTACTGCTTTCAGAGGCTCTGATCTCTGTTGCAGCTGGGGAGTGCCTGACACACAGGAGAGATGTTTTTACCCTCTACACAGTTAATGGGGCAGACTTGTGCTGGGTCAGTCCCTTAGCATAAAACAGAAGAGACTGAAGGCTACCCTTATTTGTGATAACTGCCCATGGCCCCACGATAATATTTCAGCAGTCAGGGATATTTTGACTACAATCCCTGCACTAGTTCCAGGAAAGCATTGGTGTGGGTCACCTGAGGACCACCTGGGGAAATCCTCTAGGTACCTGCTGTATGGCAGCTTTGTTCTCCTAATCAGCACCGAGCTTGGATCATCAGGGGAAAACAATCTGAGGCTTTTTGTACACAAATGCAATCCAGTTTTCTCAAGTATTGAAAAATTGGGTAGAAAACATTCTGGCATTCACAGGACTAATAAGCAGGAACACAACAGATCTAGCTTGGCTATATATCCAGTAAACTGACAGCAAGTTTCTTTTGAATGTGGATAAATACAGGTAGAGAAGGTGAGTCAGCAATCTCGTTCTAAAGGAACAGCTGGCTACTGGAGTTGTGATGTGAGTGCTTGTTCTTGAAACTTCCCCCCCCCCCCTCCCTCCAACTACTGGAAAAGTGCAGCATTTTCCATCCACCTACATGCTAGTCCGTATTAACAAATTGAGATTTAAAGAGTATGATCAACAAGGGCTTTATTTCTGATGTAATACTTGAAAGTGTTTGTATTTACAAAGCTGTTTAAAAGTAAAAAAAAAAAGTTAACTAAAAATTCCTCTTACTTTGGAAAAAATATTGTTCAAAGCATTTAGAAGAGCAAAGTCCTATTACTTGGTCTCCAAAGAGTGTTTTGTATTTAGTGCTACACTGAGATGTACAAAATAGAAAAAACAAAATGCTGACTTGACTTTGGCACTGTCTGTCTTGATCATATGTGCATTAGTTGGCTGGCTTTGCGGGGAGAAATGGTCAGTCTGAAAACAAATTCAGAAGTGGTAGAGCTCTGAAGGGAGTCTAGTTGCATCCTCCTAAGATATTAAAAGTATCCAGCTCCAGTATGGCACTTTACTCCTATGTCACCGGATTATGAAAACCTGCTACTCCTGCACAGCAGCATGGTGGAAACAGGCTGGGAAAAGCAGTGTGGGTATTTGAATTTAAATTGCAGCTGCTTGTTCTATGGAGGCAAGTGAGCAAAGGCCGCTTCATTTTTACTTTTGGTGCCTAAGTATGGATTCTTCCAGACTTCCTTCCTCTTAGTTATGTAGAGGAGTTCAGAGATCCATTCCTCAATAACATTGATTAGCATTTCCTTCCCCTCCTCCACAAGACTTTTTTTTCTCCCAGACCCCTCAGTAACCATGCTTTCAGGTGGGTTAGCCTGTTTCCTTGGCTTGACACACGTAGAGGTTTGCAAATCAGCAGGTTCCACCCAATGCTATACAATCCAAGGAACCTTTTCAGTGGATCATTCTATCTCCACTTTCATCCAGCACTTTAAGTGCCCCTGGCACTCAGAAAACACCTGTGTTGTTTCCTCCTACCTCTGTAGGCACCTAAAATCAGTGCTTAAGTTTTTGTCTCTGGGCATGTACACGGCTGCCTCATTCTAGGCAGCCAGACGCTTGTGCCCTGGCATGATACACAAAGCAGGGGAAGATAAGCATCCATCTGCAGGGCCCAATCCAGTTGGCAGGAGCTGAGGCCACCTAGAAGTTCAGGGCCCATTCAAACTCCGTAAGGAGGTGCTTATGAGCCCAGTAGTTGGATCACTCCCGCAGGACTATATAGCTCCAGGTTTAATTTCCCCCTCTGCCTGATTGGTGGGGACTATGGTGAAAAGGAGGATTTGAACAGTCATCTCCAACCGCTCCAGAAAGTGTGCAAATGATTGGGGCTATTCTGATACAGGTCTTTCTCATGCTCTCCTGTTGAAACTATCCAGGGTGTATAAAGTCATAGGGCCAGAGAGAGAAGAGAATGAGTAATGCTGGTGGTTAGGACACTCCCAGGTAGGAGACCCAGGAGCCAGTTCCCCTGTTCCAGTGAGTATGTATTTATATACAGTGGAACAGCTTCAAACAGAGATTAGAGGAAGACCCACTGCAGAATAGGTCATTCTCAAATGGTTAGAGCACTGAGAGGTGAAAGACACCTGCTCAAATTTTTTCTCCCCCTGCAGGCAGAAATCAACCCAGGTCTTGCACATACAGAGGGAGTGCTTTGACAACTAGGTTAAATTAAGGTGGACAGCAATCCTCATTTCTGCCCCCCCTCCAAAAAAAAAAAAAGTAGTGCCTGACTTGAGGAGAGGGGCAGGGTTTAGGAAACATGGCTCTAGTCAGCATCTCCCGTTGATTAGTTTAGGCAGGCAGCTGCCTATTGTGGTGGCTTACCTAGACTTTAGGAATCCCAGTGTTTTTCTAGGTGCCTACAAGTTAGGCACTGTAATGCCTATATCTCATTATGAAGCTAGTCCATATTGTTAACCTTGCATTTTGCTTCCTCACACCCTCCAAAATCAGGTTAATATTTACCTTCATATTGCACTGCCTATAGAAACAGTATCTTAAGGTTTGTAACATGGTCCCGACCTTACTAATTTCATAGCCCATGAGTCAAATTGTCAAATGAGATATTTCAGTTGTAATCCTAATTTATCAGACCTGTAGCACATGTAATTTAGTAACACAATGAGTAGTTTACAAAAGGGCATTTAAATGTTTTACACTCATAATGCACAGAGACATGGCTTAGGGGTCAAAACTGAACTCTGAACCTTCCCTTCCACCAAACAAGTCAGCTAACTTGTTTGTTTAGATTAGTTAACTGAGGGCTATAACTGAAAATCCCAGCCTAAAATTCTGCTAAGAATGGGGTTCACAAAAACCAGTCTGCTGAGCAAGGAGCTGCCTAAACCAAATACTAGGAAATGCCAAGGAGATGGGTGTAGCCTAAGCCCTGGTCTACACTAGGACTTTAGGTCGAATTTAGCAGCGTTAAATCGATGTAAACCTGCACCCGTCCACACGATGAAGCCCTTTATTTCGACTTAAAGGGCTCTTAAAATCCATTTCCTTACTCCACCCCTGACAAGTGGATTAGAGCTTAAATCGGCCTTGCCGAGTCAAATTTGGGGTACCGTGGACACAATTCGACGATATTGGCCTCCGGGAGCTATCCCAGAGTGCTCCATTGTGACTGCTCTGGACAGCACTCTCAACTCAGATGCACGATTGTCTGCCATTGCTCTGACGCAGGGAGGGGCAACTGACAACATGGCTTACAGGGAGTTAAAATCAACAAAGGGGGTGGCTTTACATCAAGGAGTATTTCAGGCAGGACTTCACGGAGGGTTCCAATAAGAAATGGTGCACCTAAGTTATTGGAACAAGCAGGTCGGTCTGGCCTCTGATTGATACACGGCTAGATTTACCTTGCTGCACCTTCTCTGTGAGTGACTGCAGTGTGACCTAGAGGAATGAGTCCCCTAGACGGGGGGGCGGAGGGGAAGGTTGCAAATGAGTACAAAACAAATCTGGTCTATTTCTTGTTTTGATCCACTCCATCTATCTTTTACATCTTTGGCTGACAGCAGACAGTGCAGAAGGACTGCATGCCATCCACATCTCACGGCTGCTCGGCAGAAGATGGTACAATAGGACTGCTAGCCATCCTCATCTCTTGCCTGCCCGGCAGAAGATGGTACAAGAGGACTGCTAGCAATCCGTATCGCCTGCCTGCTCACCATAAGATGGTTCAATAGGACTGACTGCAGGACTAAAGAGAATGACCTGATCAAGTCACTCCAAATTTAGTCCCTGCGCCCATGTCTGCCCAGGCGCTCCTGACCTAACAGAGGCGACCAGGAGCACCTCGGACATGACGATGATGGCTACCAGTCCTACTGTACCGTCTGCTGCCATAAGGCAAGGGGGTGCTGCTGCTGTGTAGCAATGCAGTACCACATCTGCCAGCACCCAGGAGACATACGGTGACGGTGAGCTGAGCGGGCTCCATGCTTGCCGTGGTATGGCGTCTGCACGGGTAACCCAGGAAAAAAGGCGCAAAACGATTGTCTGCCCTTGCTTTCACGGAGAGAGGGAGGGAGGGAGGGAAGGGGGGCCTGACGACATGTACCCAGAACCACCTGCGACAATGTTTTAGCCCCATCAGGCATTGGGATCTCAACCCAGAATTCCAATGGGCAGCAGAGACTGCGGGAACTGTGGGATAGCTACCCACAGTGCAACACTCCAGAAGTCGACGCTTGCCTCGGTACTGTGGAAGCACTCCGCCGAGTTAATGCACTTAGAGCATTTTCTGTGGGGACACACACACTTGAATATATAAAACCGATTTCAAAAAAACCGACTTCTATAAATTCAACCTAATTTCGTAGTGTAGACATACCCTAAGATCCATCTCTTAAGAGATTTAGGAGCATAAGTCTTGGCCATAGGGAGCCACCTCCCTCCACTTGGTATTCAGAGCCATGAACTCTCTATGGGAGTTAAGTATATAAACTGTCCCCATCCTTCACTCACTCACCATGTGGGAGACCCAGGTTGAAGTTCCTTCCCCCCCCCCCCCCTGTGCACCATAGAGAACAGATTAGAACTTGGGTCTCCCGCTTCCCTGCCGAGTACCCTAGCCCCTGGACAATAAGGTATTCTGGGATCACATTGGTCAGTGAAACCATTCCACTGTATATAAATAACTATTCATTGAACCCGGGGGGGAGGGTGTCTCAGCTGAGCGCCCTAACCACTAGTTACTCTGAATATTCATTGGGTCAGAGACCAAAGTATATGCAGAGGGACACCTCCAACAGGAGACACAGAAACCAGCCCCAGAATACCCCAGATCCCAGTAGTTGGGTCTCCCACCTTCCAGGAGACTGCCCTTATGCCACAGCAGACAGTGAGAATTTGAATCTCAGTCTCCAGCCTCTTAGCATACTAACCACTGTGATAAAAGTTAAGGCAGAGTGCACCACCTCTTCTTTGCTACTCCATCCAATGTAAAATGTTGTTTTTTCTGCTCCAAGGGAGGAAACAGTCACAATTCATTGGGAGATGCCCTGATAACACCATAGCCCCGTATCCTGCTATATGCTTACCCACCTCTACCTCTGATTCTCAAAACCTTACTCAAACTGTGACAAGTAAGAACAATGATTATCCTCATAGCACCATCCTGGCCAAGACGAGCGTACACTCAAACCTCCTTCACCTCCCTCTGGCAGTGCCTCTCTTGAGTTCATCTCAGGAAGGATCTCCTGTCACAGAACTCTGAGACCCTGATCCATCCCAACCCCCTTTTCCTGAACCTGAGAGCACAGTTCCTAGATGATTCTCGAGGATGGTGCTAACCTGTTTGGATAAGGTCTAGTCAGTTCTATCAGGAAACTTAGTACTTGCAAAACTTACCTTCAAAAGTGGAAACTCTTCAATTTCTGGTGTTCTCTTCACTATTCTCAAGCATCAGACATTCTGCTCTCCAGAACCCTAGACTTGCCTGTTGAATTTGAAGACTAGGTCTATTAATGAGCTCATTCAGAGTACATTTGGCTGTTATCACAGTCTTCCATTCGCCTATCGAAGCATCTCAGTTTTTGCACATCCCACTAACACCAGATTCCTCGAGGGCTTACACAACTTGTTTCCCCTGTATAGCCCTTGGCCACCCAGTGGGACCTTAATTTGATTTTCAATGGCCTGAGGAAACCTCCATTTGAACCGATGACTGCCTGTTTTCTCCTCCACTTCTCCCTTAGACTTGGTTCCATATGGCTATCACTTCAGCTTGAAAAGTGACAGACTCTGCTCTTATGGAAGATCTGCCATTAACTACCTTCTATAAAGACAAGATTACACGGTGTCCCCATCCTCACTTCCTCCCTAAGGTCTCTTTATAATTCCATATTAAATCAAGAGATCCATCTACAAGTGCTTTACTCAAAGCCCCACGCCTCCAGAGAGGAGGCCAGCCTACATACACTAGATGTCAGAAGGACTCTCACTATGTACCTTGACAGAACTAAGACCTTCCAGGCCTCTCCTAGATTATCTGTATCATTTGAAGAGAGGATGAAGGGACAACCCACTTCCACTCAAAGACTGTTAAAGTGGGTTTTGGGTTGCATTTTACCCTGCTACAAATCTGCTGGGATATAGCCCTCATAGTGCACTCCATTAGAGCCCTGTCCATATCTATAGCTCTACTGAAATACAATCCCATAACAGAAATCTGTAGGACTGCAACGTGGTCTTTCATCCGTACCTTTGCAAAGCATTACGCCATCTTACCTGTTTCCAGGGATGATACTACTTCTGGCAGTCCTTTGAACAGTCAAACCTCCTCATTGAGTTACTGCCTGGGAGTCTCCTACAGTGGAGCACCCATAGGAACATATACTCAGAGAGGTTACTTGCCTTACAGTAATTTGAGTTCTTTGAGGTGTTCCACCTCCCTGCCCTCTTTCCCCTTTCTGTGGAGGCTCTACTTCGTGGTCAAAAAGGAACTGAGTGGTGGTGGGTCCATGTGCCTCCTTACATGCCCTCATTGAAGGCACAAGGTGCTGCTGTGTCTGCAGGCCCACAGAAACTGCTCTGCATTCTCTGGTAGAGAGTACATGGGTGTGCATGCATGCTATGGTGGAGCATCCATCGGGACAAAACATCTTGAAGAAATCAAGTTACTGTAAGGTCAGTAACCTTTTCTTCCTTTGGATTGCTCAGTGTTATGACTCACTTTCAAATAGCTTTTTTGCAAGCACCTTTTAACTCTAATGACTAAATCAACAGTGGGCAGAAACAATATGAAGGCAAGATTTCAGTTCACATTTTCAGAGATCTCCAGGAAAAAAAGACCTTCCTTAGGTTAAAAAATATACTCTCTCCATTCCTTTTTTTAATCATGAAGTGAACAGCAATGCCATAAAAAAATTCTTTTCAGGTCACTTAATGTTGAAAATCAGTGGTTCCCAAACTTTATTGGTTCATATACCACCTGCTTAAAAATTGGTATTTGAAATAACACATGCAAATTTCTCTTAGTGCACATTTACTTCAAGCCTAATAGGCTTAACTGAAGTATTTCTGGAATCTATAGTAAAATAAATGCCTAAGGAAACCTAAAATGTTCAATTACAACTAAGGGTGGCCAGAAAACAAAAATCCATTTTGCAAAAAACTTGGTTTTGACATTTTTCTTCCCCAGTCAGATGCAGAATAAAACTAAGGCCCTTTGAGGTTTTTCACTGAAAAGCAGAGACCCCCTTCCCCCATCCACTAATAAGCATAGCCCAGTGGTTAGAGCACTCAGCGGAGATGTGGGCGACCCACATTCAAGTCCCCAATCTAAATCAAGCAGAGCAGGAACCTAAACCTGAGCCTCCCGCATATCCCTGGTAAGCGCCCTAACCACTGGGTTATTGGATATTCTGGGGCAGGAATATACTCATTCTGGCATTGATCAGAAATTCCACTGTGAACCCAAGAAACCTGCCCAACGGAAGGTTCATTTAAAGTGAATTTTGTGGAAATGTTCATTTAGACAAGTCGTCATTTTCCAACTAAAAACATTTCAAAAAGTTCCTGACCAGCTCTAGTGATAATGTCCTTTCTAAACATCTCTGGTTTTTAGACAGCACATCACAAAGGAACATGATGAATCAGCCATTATGTCTTTCACATTACTCAAATTACAAGAAACGATTTAATGTCGTAAATGATGTGGTAATATATTTTGGTACGTGCCATTGAACTAAATTCCATGGCCCAACTTTAACCTACCTGAAGTACATCTGAAGTTCCTGGTAATTCTTATCTGGATTGTTGCTGAACACAAGCCACAGTTCATTTTGCTTCCCGTTTACAAAATTTAAATCAGTGGTCTCCAACCTTTTTATGCCCAAGATCACTTTTTGAATGTAAGGGCAACCCAAATGTTGCCCTGTCCCTTCCCCAAAGCCCTGCTCCACTCGCTCCATCCCCCCCCTCTCTCTGTCACTTGCTCTCCCCCACCCTCACTCACTTTCAGCGGGCTGAGGTATGGGGTTGGGAAGTGGGTGCGGGCTCTTGGCTGGGGCCGAGGGATTTGCAGTGTGGGAGGGGGCTCTGGGTTGAGCCTTGGACAGGGGCTGGGGTCCAGGAGGAGGTGAGGGGTGCAAGCTCTGGGCGGGAGTTTGGGTGCGGGGGGGGGTTCCAGGCTGGGGCAGGGGTTTGGGGTGCAGGAGGGGGTGGGGGCTCAGGGCTAGGGTGCAGCCTCCTGCCGGGCAGCGCTTACCTCCGGCAGCTCCGCAAGGCTAAAGCAGGCTCCCTGCCTACCCAGGCCCCACGCTGCTCCTGGAAGGGGCCAATGTGCCCCTGCAGCCCCTGGGGTGGGGCAGGCAGCACACAGCTCCACGCGCTGCCCCTCTCTGCAAGCACCGCCCCCACAGCTCCCATTGACCACAGCTCCCATTCCTGGCCAATGGGAGCTATGCGGGCAGTGCTTGCAGGCAGGAGCAGCGCGCGGAGGGAGACCCCCAGCCGCAGGGCACGCTGACTGCTTCGGGAAGCAGCGTGGGGCCTGGGCAGGCAGGGAGCCTGTTTTTGCGCCGCTGGAGATCGCGATCGACTGGGAGCTCCTTTAGGATTGACCAGTCGATCGCAATCAACTGGTTAGTGACCACTGATTTAAATCAACAACATTTTGAGTAGCAACTGGGGAAAATGAAAAAAGTGCCACTAACAAGAAGTTTGTGTGTGTGTGAGAGACAGAGATGGGGTGGTGGTGTCTACAGTGGGTTTGTTACTTAGACAAAAGGAAATCAATCGTTAACAATTAAGTTAAATGCTATCAGTAGCATGTCCCACATACCTTAGTGGATGATACTGAAATCAACTCCTGTGAGAGTGGTGGTGTGGGATCTGGCAGGAAGATTTGTTAAGGCTTTACATTAGAAATGGTGGTTCTAGAATTCAAGACCTGTGCATGTTCTTCTCCAGACCAAGGGAGCGTACAAATGGACAGTGAGTTTAGGAAAATGTAACAATGTGGAGAATCTGAAGGGATAACAAGCCACTTTTAACCTAGAGGGAAACAAACACATAAGTCAGGATCATTTTTAAGTGAGCTCTAATTCTAACTGCAGGCAAAAGTTGCAGAAGTGAGGAAGTTTGACAATTTGCAGGACAAACATTTAAACCCCATATAAAATGGGTTAAAATAAGGTTTTATAATAGAAGTTAATTGCAAGCTTAACTACTTCACTAATAATAGACTCAGTTATGTAACTTAAACATACAAGAGCATAATTTTGAAAAGTTATTTTTTATTCATCAAAAGTTAAGAGCAACAAGCACATATTAAAATGAGTATGGTAAAGCCTTTACAAATGGCTTTACACTGAAGCTCTCTCCCAAAAATGGCTGTTGCAACGAACTGTAAACAGAATTAATAAACAGTCTTTTACAGAAATAACACGGGAAATACAAATGAACTAAAAGAAAGCACCAGTTTCTCTTAAATTCTGTAACAGTTGTGCTTACTGTACTTAAAACAGTGTAAAACAAATTACAAAAATGGAATGTTTGAAGTTTAAAATTAGTCCTTAAATTTTGTCATTAAAAACATTTCTCCGTTTCACATCAAAAACCCGTAAATGGGTAATGTTTCAGGAGAGGGAGGAATAAGTAAACAATGCACTTTTTTCAATCAAAAACGAATTTGGTCACTTAGCTTTGTGCATAGTTTAAGGCATCTGTAGCAATCTGTTACAGTTTCCCCCCAATGTGGCTGTTCATTACACTGTCACATTCTAAAAGAATAAATAAAAAATGTTGCAGTTGAAACCCTTCCCGCTCCCTCCCCCACATAACCCCGAACACTCTCGCACCCACACATACATACACACTGCAGCGAAAGGGGCATTTGTACCCTTGGTCAGAAGGACACAGTTCCCATCCCACTTTATTTCAGATTGGCAAATACCCTGAGTTGAATATGGTGTTTATAGACATTCTGCCTTTGTCTTGCATATGCAAGTTCAAATGTACAATAGTGAAAACAACATGCAACGTTTTCAATGCAGAACTGCAACACGGTTAGGGACAATGTTCCCCCCCCACCCACCCACCCACCCCCCACTCTGCAAATTCAGAAGCATTTTCAAAAATTGCATTCCCATACAGCACTGGAGAAAAGCTTGGCTGTGCTCTATGGTGAACGCTCAGTTCCCAGTGCACAAACAAAATAATGACAAATGGAGTCTTTTCTGGCATCCAAAGGAAAAAGAGCTTTAGTCTCAGATTTGACCTTTTTTTCTTTTTCTGTTTTTCTAAAAGAAAACCAAAGTTAGTGGTTCTTTCACAGCCATGCGTAAAGATAAGTCTAGAACCAATAGTTTCAGAGTACATTTGTAAACATCAAGTCTTGCCAGAGGCAGCAGAGGATGGGCACTTCACATTTCCATATTTTAAACAAGGACTGAGTGGAAGGTATGCTTTGAACATGTTTATGCAAGACTTGCTAAATCCCAAGAAAATGAAATAGTTCATATCAAGTCTTAGTTCTGAAGACCTTATTTCAAACTTTTTTAAAAAACCCACGTGGCACCATGATGAAACTTCTTGTACTGTTCCTTCAAGATTCAGTCACTGCTGTGCTTTGCATATTCAAGGTTCCAAACAAAAGCCAACTGAGGCATATGCATATTGCTCTATGTTCCAATCTTGTAATTAAAAATTGGGTTCAAGTGATCTGTAAAGGAAAACTTGGAAATAAATAATGCTGGCATCATTTACACTGAACCTTGAGCAGTTATAACAAGTTTCTCCTCAAACCCCATTGTGCAGATACAATTGCAGAGGCAATTTTGTCATACGGATTCTGGAGTCAGGACAATCGAGTTTCCTGAGGTAATACGTCTGAGTCCATTTCCTCAAATGCAGGATCAGTATCATCACCACTGCTTGACTGTTCTCTTTGCAGTCCCTTCCAACTAGCTTTATTCAGTCCCAGATGACCAAGCATCGTCTGTGATAACCTGGTATTTGAAAACCGGGCCCACTCTGTAAATAATGGCTCCACTAAGTAGGTCATAAAACCTTTAAAGAAGAAAGCTTTAGATTAAAAACAGGAAAGAATATGCATTTTTAAGGTAAAGGTTTTAAAGCATTTAGGAAGTGATATAAAAGATTAACAATGCATTAGCAACTCGTCTCCAACTTACATCTAAAAATGGTCATCTTTCAATATTTCTAACACTGTGGCACTTTATTAAAATATAGAAGTATAATCTATAGAAATATTACAGGTTTGACAGTAAAAAGAAATAGCATTATATTGTATTAAGAAGGAACCGATGAATCTCATTTGTTCCCTTTTGGGGCAGTGGAGAAATAAAGGGAAAAAAAACTATTGGAGAGGAGAAAGGAGGACACCAATCATCAGATTTGAATTAAACTACACAAACTAGACTAAAAAGCCTATAAGTCTAACAGAAACAAGCTCATATATAATAAACCATCCCACAAACAAGCTGAATTGTGTTACAACGGAAATATACATTCAAATTCCCTCGGCATCACTAGACCAGTTAAGTGTATTGAAGTATGACCAGGCAAACTTGTGTCTCATTCAAGGCAAAGATGACTAATGGCCTGCACAAATTAAAGGGCTCCCAGTGTTATGCAGCAAATGAGACATCTTGAAATAGCTGACTGCCCTCTACACACACACACACACACACACAAAAGTATTTTGTCTATGTCTAAGACTTTTAAAGGTATTCAGGTGCCTAACTCTCACTGATTTCAATGGCTGTGAGATGCCTGAATAGCTTTAAAAATCTGGCTATGTATATGCAAACAAAAATTTAAAGATAAGGTTGCCAGAACTGTACTTTTGCCTTATTTAAAAAAAAAAAGTTTATTTTAAAAAAATCAAAATTATGGTCAGCTATTCAACAATCTACTGGTTATAACTGATGTAATTTAGTATAATTTGTGAGAACCAAAGTCACAATTTTTTTTTACATTTCCAATTTTATATGAGATAAAAAAATTCAAATTATGTCTGGGGTTAAAATTTATTAATCTGCTTAATATAGTAGAACATATTTTTTCATTCAATCCCATTCAATCTATATGAAAATATACTTAAAAAAAAAAGTCAATGTTTATTAATGGGAAAATCCTTTCACTTCTGTCCCTGGTATAAATCTAGCCCAGGTTGGCAGTGATCAAAAATCATCTACCAGCTATCCATTGGCCTACATGAAATTCCTATGCTTTAAGACTATCTTTAAACCAGTTCCCAGTGAATAGGTGTCCACATTCCAAAAGCCTAAGTCAACTGGCAGCTTCACTAGAAGCACCAAGGACTGAATGGGTAGGTGAATGAAATGTCCTCTAACTCTGGAGTTTGTCATTCCAGGTTAGGATTAAGGCACATTGGAGTAGTAATATGGGAAAGGCTACATTGCTATTGCCCATGCTATACCTGTTCTATGGATACAGGACTTCAGTCTCCAGGACTATCAATCAAGCACCTTTCACGATTACTAAATTCAAAGGAGAAATTTTAAAGCAAAGAAAAAATTGCTTGTGGTGAAGAAGCATTGCCAAATTAACACAAAAAAAAGACAAAGGGCAAATTCTAAGATTTATAGGCAAAGATAGCTTTCCTTCCTCTAAAAATTGTCATTAAAGGGAACCACTGAAAGATTTTAAACTGTTCAAATACATATATTTGTAGTTACCAATCTGGATGTTGGCAATGGTTTCTGACTGTCGATCACACAGCGGACTCACACCCAAGTGATATTTTTTTTCAACATCTCCTAAAGAGAGAACAATTACTTAGAAAAGTAATTTTTAACCGTAAGCATTCTGGAATTGTTAATTCATAATACACACAAGCAAATCTGTTTTAGACAACCATTCAAGGAAGGCAAGTCACCTTGAGAGAACAGTTTCTATGTATTACAGCTGTATCCTTACTTTTAAAATGCATTCTGCAAAAATATAACCCAATATAAGAGCAGATAAATATTAGGGCTGTTGATTAATCACAGTTAACTCATGCGATTAACTCAAAAAAATTAATCGTGATTAATCGCAGTTTTAAATGCACTGTTAAACAATTGAATACTAAATTTATTAAATATTTTGGATGTTTTTCTACATTTTCAAATAGATTGATTTCAGTTACAATACAACATACAAAGTGTACAGTGCTCACTTTATTTTATTTTTATTACAAATATTTGCACTGTAAAAATGATTAACAAAAGAAATAGTATTTTTCAACTCACTTCATACAAGTACCATAAATGCAATCTCTTTATCGTGAAAGCATAGCTTACAAATGTAGATTTTTTTCTGTTACATTACTGCACTCAAAAACAAAACAATGCAAAACTTTAGAGCATACAATCCACTCAGTCCTACTATTCAGCCAATCACCAAGACAAACAAATTTGTTTAAATTTATGGGAGATAATGCTGCCTGCTTCTTGTTTACAGTGTCACCTGAAAGTGAGAACAGACGTTTGCATGGCACTTTTGTAGCTGGCATTCCAAGGTATTTATGTGCCAGATATGCTAAACATTCGTATGCCCCTTCATGCTTTAGCCACCATTCCAGAGGACATGTTTCCATGCTGATGACACTTGTTAAAAAAATAATGCGTTAATTAAATTTGTGACTGAACTCCTTGGGGGAGAATTGTATGTCTACTGCTCTATGTTTTACCTGCATTCTGCCATATATTTCATGTTATAGCTGTCTCGGATGATGACCCAGAACATGTTGTTCATTTTAAGAACACTTTCAGTGCAGATTTGACAAAACATAAAGAAGGAGTCAATGTGAGATTTCTAAAGATAGCTACAGCACTTGACCAAGGTTTAAGAATCTGAAGTGCCTTCCAAAATCTGAGAGGGACAAGGTGTGGAACATGCTTTCAGAAGTCTTAAAAAAGCAACACTCCGATGCGGAAACTACAGAACCCGAACCACCAAAGAATAAAATCAACCTTCTGATGGTGGCGTCTGACTCAGATGAAAATAAACATGTGTCACTCCGCTCTGCTTTGGATTGTTATTGAACAGAACCAGTCATCAGCATGAATGGACGTCCTCTGGAATGGTGGTTAAAGCATGAAGGGACATACAAATCTTTAGCACATCTGGCATGTAAATATCTTGCAACGCCAGCTACAACAATGCCATGAGAACACCTGTTCGCACTTTCAGGTGACATTGTAAACAAGGAGCAGGCAGCATTATCTCCTGCAAATATAAACGAACTTGTTTCTCTGAGCCATTGGCTGAACAAGAAGTAGGACTGAGTGGACTTCTAGACTCTGAAGTTTTACATTGTTTTATTTTTGAATGAAGTTATTTTTTGTACATAATTCTATATTTGTAAGTTAAACTTTCATGATAAAGAGATTGCACAATGGTACTTGTATTAAGTGAATTAAAATACTATTTCTTTTATTTTTACAGGGCAAATATTTATATTTAAAAATAAATATAAAGTGAGCCTATACTCTGTATATATATTACATATATTCTGTGTTGTATTTGAAATCAATATATTTGAAAATGCGGAAAACATTTATATTCTGTGTTGTAATTGAAATCAATATATTTGAAAATGCGGAAAACATCAAAAATATTTATATAAATGGTATTTCATTATTGTTTAAAAGCATGATTAATCATGCGATAAATCGTGATTAATTTTTTTAATTGCTTGACAGCCCTGTAAGACAATCCTTCATTTGAAGTATCTTTTCTAGTGAGGAATACATTTCAGCTAGAATCTGAAACTTTTGGGTGTATTGAGTTAAAGCAGATTCTTCATCAGCTGTTAGTAGCAGAAGAAGCCTGTTTCAAGAATGTAGCCACAAAAAAAAAAAAGTATTTTAACCCTCTTTTAGTCCTAAACTTATATAGCCCTTCATCTCACAAAGTCACTAGGACTCTCAGATATTCATCTTATGATACATTTACACATTCATTGGTATGAGATTAGAATATTTCTATTCTTTTACTTGCCTTGATGGAAGAATTCCTCTGTTACTTTTTCACTCCACTGCTTGCTCAGTTCCCAGGTCCGGCATGGATTACAAATATCAGCACACTTCAAAGCCATCTAGTGAATTACATATACTGTGTTACACAACTTTTAATTTTTTTCTACATGCAAAAACATGAATACAAAAAGCAGCATAATTTCTAGAGTAACTACTGTATTCCATAACGTCTCATGCATTTTTATAATCAGCGTAACAAACCCAACCACTTGCATTTCACTCTAAAATTATATACCATAGTTAAGGCTGCAATTTAGTCACAGAAGTCGCCGGAGTCACAGAATCCATGAATTCCAGCGACCTCTGTGACTTCAGCTTGCGGTGGTCCGGAGCTGCAGGGTCCCCCGCTGCCTGCTGGGGCAGGAAGCTGTGGGGTACCCCCGCTGCCCCTGGCGGCAGGGAGCTGCAGGGAATTCCCCCACCGCCCCCACAGGAAGCTGTGGGGGTTTCCCCGCCCGCAGGGAGCTGCAGGGGCAGTGGCGGGACACCCCTCGAGCACCCTGCCGCTGCCGGGGAAACCCTTGAGCTCTCTGCCACTGGGGGTGGTGGGGCACCCACCCCCAACTCGTGGTGGGTGGTGGCGGGGAACCCCCAGCTCCCAGTAGGTGGCGGCGGGGGAACCTCCAGCTCCCTCACGCCAAGGGTGGCACTGTAGGGGAACCCCAAGCTCCCAGTGGGCAGCAGTGGGGGAACCCCCGAGCTCCTGGGGGTGGCAGACAGCTCCGGGCTGCTAAGAAGGAGCCCAAGCTCCTGGCCCCCGTGGGTGGCAGGGAATCCCAGCTGCTACAGGCAGCTCCTAGTCCCTGCAGCTTCCCCACTTGAAGTAGTGTGGGGATCCGCAGATCCACGTTTTGTCAGAGATATTTTTAGTAAAAGTTAGGGACAGGTTACGGCTTCTGTGACTTTTTCTGTTTTGCCCGTGACCTGTCCGTGACTTTTGCTAATAAGATCAGTGACAAAATCTTAGACTTCGCTAACAGAATGCTACTTTGAGAATTATAAGAGGTCAGAACAGAGCTAAGTAAAACTGAAGGCAAACAGACTTCTATCCTGGACAAAGTGAATGAGAGTTAAATACAAAGTACCTCTCAAAGGCACTGTATACAGAGCATTCAATACAAAGACATTTATATACGAAATAAAATGGCAAAACGGTATTTATTTTAATTAACTCTAACCAAAAATTAAGTTAGCTGTTAGGAAAACACTATTTCAAAGCCAGTTAACATCCCTGCTCCCCATTTTATAACTGCAATAAGACATTTTAAAGAATTAACTAATAGCATAGTTTCAATGCCAGAGATCCTAGTAGGATTGAGTTAGTATAGTTCAGTTTACTTCCTTGCATTACTTATTTTTGAAAAACAAAATATAAATCCCCACTTAACAGAAAATGTATTGTTTATGGCTTGGTTGGGACAGTTCAAACCCTGGGTTCGTACTTTTGTAGACAGGATGACCAATCTGAAATTACAGGATTTCTGCATTCTTTAAGAGGGTCCTCCCTCCAGTTTAATGTCCCTCTTTCTCAAAGGAAGTGTTTTAGCCTTCTGTACACCTCCCTGTTGAGAAGTATCTGACAGCACAAACCAAGGGTTCATAACAGCACAGCAATACCCCACAATATACTTTAGAGTATTGCCTAAGGGACCCAAAGCTAACTATAAAACAGTCTTAACCAGTCTCTTAGGAATTTTCTTTAGAGGGAGGAGCAAAAAACTTGAACCTCATTGAAAGATTTGTTAACCCAGTTTCTGCCTGCTGGGATCAGTGACAGACTGAAAACCTTTACCTCCATTTCTAATTCCCCCTCCTCCGTTTCTGATTCATCTGTGCCTCCCTCTGCTCATTGAGCAAGCTCCTCTCTAACATGTGCAGGCAGAAAGGGCTGGTTTTACCCTCTACAGAGTGAGGATCTTGGGGAGCCTCAGCAGGACTTGCTGGTACTCCATTTCATTGTGTAAGCAGGCCTAGCACACACTAAGCATAAATTATGTCAACTGACTGCTAACAAAGAAGTGGTATTTTTTCCTAAAGTTTTGTCTTTAACATTCTCAGTGGTTCATGGATCCTCTGTAAGCCTGTAGTAAAAACTCATCAAAATGGCAACCAGAAAGCAGTCGCAGAGGTCGCCTTCCTGCTGCCTTCTCGTTTAGAGACAGAAATCCTGAATTTTGACCGGTTGTCATCCAGACTGTATGGCAGTGAAGGAGGAACCACCTATGGTGTGTTACTGCCTACCGAGGTTTTTTAAATTATCCGTGAAAATAAGCTGCTTCAAATAGGTCGAAAGAGTGAGGTCAGTAACTTTCTGTTCTAGCACAGCAACATTTTCTACTTTGAAAGTTAACATCTCAGTCGGTGCCCTTCTTGGCAGTCTCTCTGCAGAGAGAAAGAATTGAAGATGATGCATCAAGACAGAAATACCCTCTTGACCCTGAAGATGGTCCCTCCAGAAGAAGGTGATATGCACTGGCAGAACAGCATAAGGAAAATACTGGTCACTTGTGCTGCACCTCTTCTGTAAACAAATATAAGAGCTTAATTTCCAGTGCTGTCAACCTGACATTTTACAAGATCTAAACAACTAAAGAATAAAAACATCCCCTCTTCACTGGTCACCCATGGCAGCTGAAGACCATTTTCCTGGGAGGAAAAAAAAGTATGATATTTGAAGCAATTTACTTCTGAATAGTATGGAAGTTTCAAAACAGTCACCTGTAAAATGAAGTGGCGATGGCTTGCCTCCTCTAAACATAGGTCTCCTCTGTCCAAATGGGTTCTAAACAGGGACAGGTATTCATTTTGCCGACTTATGTCTGTAGCAAGAATGAGAGCACCTATCTGGCTTTCCATCAGCTGCCTGAAATTAGTGATATAAAACACCCAAAGGCACGAAAATATGAGGAAAAAAATTAAAGCATCATATTTACACGTTTAAGTTGAATGCAGCAACTGTATATGAATGTATAAATAAACTGTAAGCCATGATGGCTGTAAGTGCAGCACTTTCAAATGTTTATATAAAATTTTTAAAAACTACAATATTTATAAAAATACTCTGACATTTCACAGGTAGCTCTCAGGAAGAGAGAAACTTACTGCATATATTTTTAAGCTAAATTCTAGCTATTGTTAAAGAAGATGAAAAGAGCTGCAATTTAAAAATACAGATCATGAGTTACTGTTTAGGTCACAAAATACAATTATCTCTTACTAGTCAGTCAATATTTTCTTTCAATCTAATCAAATGTTTGTATAATGAATACACTTCCATCACACAGTTTTCACAATAAATACTAGTTTCCAAGTTGTATACTGAATAATTAACTGTTCCTGCGAGGCTCATACTACTCATTAAATCTTCAAATTGATCTGAATATTCAGCTAGGATTATGAATTGCTATGTAATATTTTAACAGAACACTTGTTTACAAAGTTGTCTGATGCCATGGATAATACATTGTGTGTAACTTCATATAGTGTACACTCTCTGTATAAAAAATACAGACCTGTTTTCTAATGACATATGTGCAAATAAACCAGACTCTCTCAACAACCCTACTGCTGATCTCCAGTGGTGGTTTTCTAATACTGAGATATTCTGCAAAACATAAACAAAATTACTGGTGTCACTTTAAAAGACTTTATTAGTTTTACACTACAGTCTATATGCCTCTTAAAAAGGTTCATGATTTTCAAACTTTTTAATACTTCTATTACATTAATAGCTTGTATTTATTGTTTTCACTCAATGGGACAAAAATCCCAGGTTCAAGTCTACTATTAAGTGAGTACATTAGCAATTTCACTGTTAATATAATTCTATACTGAAAAGATACTCAAACCTGGTTCTGATAAGTATGATATTTTCACTTACCTTATATAAAGTTGCTAAGTAATGGTTTGTTTTAATAAGGAAAGGCTGATTAACACCTGGATGATCCAAATCATGTGTGGCAGCTGCAATTAAACTGAGCAGAACATCCCATGGAGTGAGAGACTTGGAAAGCTGTAATAAATGTAACAGTATTATTCATGGGAACATTCACAGGTGAAAAAATTCTGATTGGCTTTTCATAGCTAGCATTCAGTCCCTGGAAAAAGGTCCCAAAAATGACCATTCAATTTCATCTTTCACATAGTGCTTTGAAGGAAGAGCACCATAACAGAAAGGTGAATGCAGAGAAGGAGGTGAGGGTACTAGTAGAACTTTTAAAAAAAGTTTAATAGCAACCATTGTACAAGGCAATCCAGGAGTAATTACCCTACAGGAGTTAAAGGCTCAAATCAATTTCATCCGACCTCGTCGATAATATCTAGATAGACACAATAACTATTTAAATATTTATGATAGCTAGAGCTGTCACTCAAATTGTTAGCTACTCCATTATCAACCAGAGAGTATTTCAAAATTCCTGTTTAAATTAAAAATCCTTGAAAGAGGTTATTTCTTCAAGTTAGTTGTCCAACTCATCTTCCGAGCCGATCTTAATGTGTACACGGTCAGCAAAAGGTCCTGCTATTTCTCCTCTAGTTTTAATGCAGATAATATCATTTCAACATAAGATGTTTTTTATTTAAGCAAGTTAAGGCTCTATATGCCTCAGATATTGTCAGAACTGTTCACTGGGTAGTTTCCATCTTCTGTCACAATCCCATTTCCTACCCCTATTGGGAAAAAAAGGGGAGAAGGGTAGGGAAATAGAGAACGGCACCCAGTAAGCTCTCAAATTTCAGAGTCCCGCAACAAAGAGCTTTTCACAGGGAAAACAAAAAAGAAGGAACAGGGTAGAAAAGAGATGACAAAGTGCATATATGGGCAGACCAATGATAAGCTACCAATGTACCCTGGTATAAAGCTGTTTGAATTCAAATCATCATTAGTGGTAATGCATCACTTGATAACCATGCATTAATAACACTTATTTACCATTATACCAACAAGAAAAACCTGTGCCAAGCCACCTGACTGCTGGAAGACCAACAAAAAATTCAGATGCTAGTTTACTGACCAGCCCAGGAATCTGTGATACCATCAGTGACTGTTAACTGGGGTTGGCAGTTTGGGTAAGGAAAGATTTCTGTGGCCATGGCAATTAAATTTTTTTTTACGCTGCCCGGGGTGTCCCTGGAAATTTCTGGGATAGCTGATTTTTTTTTTCATTTTGCTAAATGACAGAGATATATTTCTGAACCAAATAGAATTTTCTCTTTTTACCACTAACAAATAGTTCAGGGGAATAAGTGTTTGGAGTGATAAACAGCATTTGGAGGAGTGAAAAGTCATAATGTGGACATTATCAAAGCTTTTCTTTTGCTCAGTGCTTATGACGCTTGTCCAGTGTTTCATGATGAGGTATTTTAGAACACTGACCTGCTGGAAAAATCCTCCACTTCAAGAAATATGCATGTCATTGTTGAATCAGAAGTTGGGAGTAATGACTCAAGAACACCCTCTTCCCTGCCCTCCCCACCATCCCACAAAAGTGCAGTGTTGTATGAATATTTCACAACCCTAGAAAGTGTCACCACAAAAGGATTTCACTTTTTCATTTTGAAAATATGGTCACCTACAGAAGGGGATAACACCTGAATCCTTTGTAAAACAAAATTTGTTACCTCCAGAAAGCACCTAGCTGTGAATGGCTAAATATATAACTGCATGATCTTATTTTCATGACCCTCATCTTCCTCCCTCCTTTTGGTTGTCAAGTCATGTGTTGCATCTTGTCTCATATGAGAGGCCTCAATCTTGTATGGAGTCCCACCAACCTTAATGCAATGTTATAGATAGCATGCAGGCAAATGATTGCCACCTTGAAGCTTCAGACAGTTTAGCTAATCAGGGTAGGTACTGTTTCCTACTATGTGATCATATAGCACCCTAGCAAAGCTTTTGACACGGTCTCCCACAGTATTCTTGTCAGCAAGTTAAGGAAGTATGGGCTGGAAGAATGCACTATAAGGTGGGTAGAAAGCTGGCTAGATTGTCGGGCTCAACGGGTAGTGATCAATGGCTCCATGTCTAGTTGGCAGCCGGTATCAAGTGGAGTGCCCCAAGGGTCGGTCCTGGGGCCGGTTTTGTTCAATATCTTCATAAATGATCTGGAGGATGGTGTGGATTGCACTCTCAGCAAATTTGCGGATGATACTAAACTGGGAGGAGTGGTAGATACGCTGGAAGGGAGGGATAGAATACAGAAGGACCTAGACAAATTGAAGGATTGGGCCAAAAGAAATCTGATGAGGTTCAATATGGATAAGTGCAGGGTCCTGCACTTAGGACGGAAGAACCCAATGCACAGCTACAGACTAGGGACCGAATGGCTAGGCAGCAGTTCTGCGGAAAAGGACCTAGGGGTGACAGTGGACGAGAAGCTGGATATGAGTCAGCAGTGTGCCCTTGTTGCCAAGAAGGCCAATGGCATTTTGGGATGTATAAGTAGGGGCATAGCGAGCAGATCGAGGGACGTGATCGTTCCCCTCTATTCGACATTGGTGAGGCCTCATCTGGAGTACTGTGTCCAGTTTTGGGCCCCACACTTCAAGAAGGATGTGGATAAATTGGAGAGAGTCCAGCGAAGGGCAACAAAAATGATTAGGGGTCTGGAACACATGAGTTATGAGGAGAGGCTGAGGGAGCTGGGATTGTTTAGTCTGCAGAAGAGAAGAATGAGGGGGGATTTGATAGCTGCTTTCAACTACCTGAAAGGGGGTTCCAAAGAGGATGGCTCTAGACTGTTCTCAATGGTAGCAGATGACAGAACGAGGAGTAATGGTCTCAAGCTGCAGTGGGGGAGGTTTAGATTGGATATTAGGAAAAACTTTTTCACTAAGAGGGTGGTGAAACACTGGAATGCGTTACCTAGGGAGGTGGTAACCTCCTTCCTCAGAGGTTTTTAAGGTCAGGCTTGACAAAGCCCTGGCTGGGATGATTTAACTGGGAATTGGTCCTGCTTCAAGCAGGGGGTTGGACTAGATGACCTTCTGGGGTCCCTTCCAACCCTTATATTCTATGATTCTAGTACAACAGGGCCCCACTCTTAATTGAGATCTCTAGGCATGACAAAAATATAAATAAAATACTTACCTACCTCCCAGAACATTACAAACTTTATTTAATTAATATTTGTAAGTTCTTTGAGATCTTAGACCAGACACTATGCAAGAGTAGTGCAGACCACTATTACTCTACAAGAATAAACCAAACCGATAAAAAAAAATCAGTGTTGAACTAGATAGCTGGTTTCCAGCTGGCTACAGTACATCATGGGACTTCTCTAATCTAATCAGAAAGTAGCATTTTTCCCTGAAGTTTCCTGTCTAGTGTGTAGCCTATACCAGAGTACCAGCAATTAAAGTTACCTCTGACAATTGTTAGCTTTGCTCAGCTCCTTATGTAGAACTCTCTCTGCTAGGTATCTCCCTTTCACAATGGCCCTTTCCGAAAGAAGAAAGGACAGACAACTCTTGTACACTGCTACAACCTGCATCTGGCAGAGGAGCTTTGTTCATTAGTATCCAAGGTGAACTAAGCATAAGTGATATATCAGCTTTTGAAAAACTGAGTTATTTGGGTCTCTACTGCCAGCTTCTGACTCAATGACGTGCATAATTCTTGGAGCAGAGGTTTTTTTCCCAGTAGCTTAAAATCTTTATGGTTTTAAGGAACATTAAGAAAATACAAACATTATATTTGTACCTTTACACGTTATGTAAAACAAATTTGTATATCCTACCTTAGGTTCTTTTAAATAACAGTGCATGGCCTGAGTCACATCAGCAGCATGAACTGCATTATGATAAGGGTTTTGACTATGATAATCTTCTTGAACCATAACTATATAAAGAAAACAAACATCTGGGTTTAATTAAAATGGCAATTTAAAAAAGAAAACAATATAAATATCACAAATTGACATTTTTGATAAGACATATAAAGTTCACATATCAAATTTGTTTAAGTAGAACCATCTCCAGTACTCTCACACAAAGGTTTTATGTGGTCACACAATATTTTTTAAGCTAACACAAGTTTTAGTATAAAGTCATCCTGGAGATCAAGTTATTCAACTTTGATCACAATGTTATGATCTGGAATATTATGATCTTACTGAGCAACCACCTCCTTAGCAGGAGTCTCTCTCTAGAGAGAGAGACTCAACCAGTCTGCTTGAACGTTGAGGCAACCTGGAACACACATATGGAAGTTGATTCTATTAATCAGAACAGCAGGGCTGACACCTCTGCTAATCTTTTGTGTCCCTCATAGATAATTTAGGCAATCCACGCATCACACTGGTGGGCCTTGATCAGAAAATGGTACCCTACAGCAACCCATCAGGGACAGAAGAGCTAGCTGTTCTGCTTTTAGTTTCAGTACATGTGAAGAAGTCTTTCCTTCCTGACCACTGTCCAGCCACTAGCCCCATATGAACCAGACTGTTGTCTTCGCTTGCCTTTCCAAGTCCTTCTTGCTTTCCTTAAGCACTGCAATTACAATATGTGGAAGGTCACTTGAGTGGAATCAGTACAAGGGAACTAGTTTATAGCAAATAAACAAACAAACAAAAATGGTTAGTAATCTATTCTATAATTTCACTTCAACTGTGCACTGGGTGCGCACGCACCTGTTGGAGATTTTTCCCTTAACGGTAACCAACTGGGGCAGCACAAGCCCTCTGTTACCTCGTGCCATCACATGAAGGTATAAAGAGCCACCTCCTCAGTCCCTCTCGCCAGACAGAGTCTGATAGAAATAGAAAGGAGAGTGGGTTGTGGAATGGACATATGTAACACATCTCAAGGAACAACCATTACAGAATAGGCTAGTAACTGTTTTCTCTTCAAGTGATTACAACATGTCCCTTCCATTTCATTCAGAAGCTGTTTGATCTGGCAGTGAGATCAGAGTCTACCAAGATAAGGATTGCAGGACCACATGCCCAAAAGTGGCATAATCTGTAGAACACTGAAAGATGACATGATGTGAAGCAAAGGTGTGTACTGAAGACCAAATCAGTACTTTGCAAATGTCCAGAATAATCACCTGGGCCCCAAAGGCTGCATGAGATCTTGTTGCATGTGTTAACACCCTACTCTGTGGAGTTATACTAGCCAAGTCAGAACACAAACAAATGCAAGTGGAAAGCCACAACAAAATCCTCTGAAAATAGACTGGAAAGCTCTTCATTCTGTCCACAATTGCCACAGCTGTGACAACGACCTAAATTGTTTAGTTTTGGCCAGGTAAAAAGCTTAATGCTCTTCTGAAGTACAGTGTGTGGAGTGTCTCCTCATCACTATGATTACGAGGTTTAGGGAAGGAAGTTGGTAAATATATAGCCTGATTAATATGAAAGTGAGACACCACATTGGTGACTCACTTCAGATGAGGACACAGATAAACCTTGTCCTTGTAGAAGACCGTATATGGAGGTTCAGAAACCAGAGCTCTCCTGGATGAGGAGATTGAGACCAAAAATGCCACCTTCATGGAGAGATGAAGTAATGAACAAGTTGCCAATGATTCAAACGAGGATCCATTAGGGTGGTTGTCAACTGGTGGGTAGAACTCCAAGACATCTGCCAAATGGACTTTGACAGAACTAATGGCAAGACCTTGTTGCTTCAGGTAAAACAGATGTCCAACACATGATGGATCAGAGCCTGGACCAAGGAAATGCCTTTCTGCTGTAACCAGATGGAGAATCTCTTCCACTTTGCTAGTAACTATACCTCATAGAAGGTTTTCCATTACTTAAAAGCACATCGTTGACCTCCTTTAAACAAATTTCTTTGAGTTCACCATGCAGCTTCAAGGTTCTCAGGCCCTGCAGATTGGGGTGGAGGAGGCAATCATGTTCTTGGAGATCAGTCAGTATTAGATGAGCTCTGTGTGAAAGAGTTAGAGTGGAAAACCAATGTTGCCACAGACACGGCAGAGCTGTCAGCTTAAGTCGAGTGGACCTGGAGGAAATGCATACAGGAGTCTGTCTGACTAAGGCAGAGAGAAACATCCATCAGAGACCTAGGGCGGTGACCTGCTTGAAAACAAAACTGGTGACACTTCCTATTGATTTTTGTAGCAAACTGGTCTATCAGTGGTATATCCCACCACTGGAAAATGAACCTGGCCATATCTGGACAAAGAGACCACTCAAGGCGACTGTTGAACAATCTACTTAAGCGGTTTCTCAGAGCATTCTGAACACACAGGAGGTGAGAGGCTTTGAAGTGGATTGAGTTGTTGATGCAGAAATCCCACTGCCTTTCCCTGGTACCTGCCAGGATCATTCAGTGTCCTATCATCAAGTCCTGTTCCCTGAATGCAGTTGTAACTGGTACCATGACTGGTGAACGTTCTCAGGGCTTATGTAATGTCAAAAGATTGGAAGCAAATACAGGTTATGACTGTTTTGCACAAATTAACACCTCACACAGGAGACAAAAATGTTTATTTCTGTTACTCTTATCTAGCAAGACAACATAATGCTCCCATTTAGATGGCCACCCATACCCCATCTCCATGGATGAGAGGGCAGTTCAGAATGTCTCCATCCAGAATTTCTGCTGCTTCATAAACTGGTTCAGCCACTTGAAGTCTCAAATCCTCCCCCACTCACCTCAACTTACTGATTATTGCAACGATCCTAGGGTAACACACTTGTTATTTGAAAAAAAAAGGGTCATGGTTCCATTTCCGGAGAAACAGTGGTCTGACAACACATTTGATATGTGTCTTCTCTGACTGATGAAGCTAGAGTCTGGAGATGAATTTGCAAACAGGAGAATGGGGGAGACAGAAGATCTCAAAGTAGTTTCTAGGTACCACAGAGAGCACCCATATGCCTGAAATGCTGAGAGCCCAGTGGGACTGAAAAAATGGACACTGGAGGTAAAACCTTGGAGTGACCTCAAGTAATCAGAAATGATCTTGGGAGAGGACTGAAACAATCTGAACGGTCTTTTGGTTTCTAAAAAAATTGCAACCTTCTGGAAATTGGCCTAGGGAACAGCCAGAAGAGGAAGGCCTCTTCCTGGAAGCTGCATCCAAGACTGGATTTGGTTCATCTTGTCAGCAGCTATAATTAGAATATTTTCTCACTATCCAGATATGCTAGGATAGAATTAAGGAAGACTCTAAAAAGTGGGAATATCCTTGGAAGGGAGGGGAGCCATTCCATGCTAGAAAAGCTTGTCTTTCTCCCCAATAACAGCCTAACTCAGACAGCCCTCCTGACAACTATGGAGCTGTTGAATATGTTGGCAGATGACCCAAGAGAATCTTGGACTATGTGGCTGAGGTTACTGATTACCTGAAGACATTTAGATAGGTTATTCCAAACTGATTTTAAAAATGAAATAAAGTCCCCTCCCTAGCTGAACCTCAGATAACCAGGGGATGACCAAGGAGACAAGACAAACAGTTTGTCACAGTGACGAACTGGACAGCCTAAAATCAGACGTTCGCCTAGATACTCTCTTCACTTTCCAGTCTACAGGTTTTTGAGGACAGCTGATGTGTTTGTTTCGACCACAGACCCTGAATCCACTTAAGGAGAAATCAGTCGTTTATTAGGAGGAACTGCTAGGGAACTTGTAAAGCAGAGATTTAATTTGAACAGACTGATGAACAGACTGGACTCCTTCCTGTCCTTTCTGTCTGGGGGAGGGGAAAAATCCTCTGAGTCCCATTTATCCTTGCTTTTTCAAACTTCATAACCACAAAAACATGCTTTGTATCAAACAGATCGAGCCTCCTGAGAAAACCTCCCAAAGGGAACAGAGAGCTGCTTCTCCTGGCTCAATCAAGAATTAGTCTTTCCTTCAGACTAAGTTGGAGGATATAGGGGAAAACAGGCAATGTGAGGGATGAGTCTTTGGTCTTGGTGCAACAAGTCGTGGTAAAGGCATCCCAGGACATCACTGACAAGTGAGATGTTGCACCACACGGTGACTCTTGTGCAAAAACAAGAAGGAACCATCTCATTCCAGGGGCTGTGTCAAGGACATTAGGATACAGAAATACAAGTCCATAAACAATTAAACAGAGCTGCTCTCCCATTGTCAAATAAAAGTAACATTAATTTACACCTTTCTCCAAGGATACACAATACAGCATCACCTCATGAAGGTCCCAAACATCCCTGTACAACTTTAAGAAAGTAGCATTAATTCCTACATCAGTGGAGCAAGATGGGATCCTTTTCTATACTACTAAAAAGACCTGAGCAGAAATGGGTTCAGCAACTGGTACTTCTGAACTGGCGATGACTACAGGTTAGATAAAGACAAACTATGTTTCTTTTCAGAAACCAAGGTCAAAACCAATATTATATTTCAATAATATTCTCACTATCTCCTCTTCCCTCATTTGTGATGTGAAATTCAGCCTTCATAATCCGTTGCATACAACTGTGACACATCATGAAATTCACACATTCTTGGGCAAAATCAATTTTTTCTGCCAAACTTAATGTAACTGATTTTTGCAGAAATTTTTTTCCTTCACCTCCCTAATTCTATTATTAAAATTAAGCTATTTCCAAAATTTGTAAGTGCACACAGTATGACAATACTACCATTATAGGAACCAGCTTCAAATCAGCACTGTTCAAACTTTCTTGCTAAACTCTAAGCAGTACTTCAAAAGGTATCTTTTAAAATGGAGTTAAGATGTAATGTTCACTTTAACAAAAGACTATAATATATTTACCTAAAAATCTACGAAGTTTCATCGTATCTAAGTGGAAGTGTTCTATCAGTCCATGAAGATTAAACAGGTGGAAGGTTAAGCTGACTAGACTGTTTCCTAAAAATAAAATACAAATATTAATTCATTTAAAAAAAGATGAAACTAGCGCTTCCATCACAAGGGAAAAATTATTTAAAAGTTTTTGTATTCAAAAGTTATGCAAACAGATTGAAAAGTATAAGAATTCTGTAAGCATTAATTGGTCTAGTCCATTAACAATTTCCCCTAGTGATCCTCAATATATCCACTATCAGCAATAAACTGTGCAATGAGGAGTCTCACTCAATATTAAAAAAAAAATTAAAAAGTCCATTTTCAGTAGCACTGTACCTTTAAAAACAATTAACCTGCAATCCACCTAAGTAGGTTTATTGCTTAGAAAAGGAACACAGAGGTAATTAAGGCAAAAAAAAAATCAATGTTGACAACTGCCCCAAGTTGAACACCTTACATTTAGTTATTCCAACATGTGTTTTCTTGCAAAAGTAATCCGCGCTGAAACCAGAAATCAAAGAATATACAAATGTGCCATTTGCTATGAAATTTGTAGTACTACAAAGCAACTGCTATGATCATTTGTTTACTAGGAGCTGAAATATTCCATATCATATATTTGATTTCTTTTTTTTTTTTTTTTAAATTTCAGAGTCAGTAAGGAAGGCTTGCAAATTAAACACATATAACACTGACAACAAGATCAGTTTTTGGCATATTTAGTTTGACACCTTAGAGACTAACCAATTTATTTGAGCATAAGCTTTTGTGAGCTACAGCTCACTTCAACAGCTCACGAAAGCTTATGCTCAAATAAATTGGTTAGTCTCTAAGGTGCCACAAGTACTCCTTTTCTTTTTGCAAATACAGACTAACACAGCTGTTACTCTGAAACCTGTCATTACTTTGACAGTGTCACTTTAACAACCAGTTACACAGCCACTCAGTGTGCTAGGTGCTCTACTCAGAAGCACAAAGTTCCCCACCCCGTATAACTTATTGTCATGCTTCACCACATGTGTGCATGTCATTTTGGTACCACTTCCCCAAAAAGCTCTTATTCCCAACACTAGGACAAGATGTTCTTTTGAAGTCTATTCCTTTAAGAGGCATTTATCTAGAAGTACTCTGCTGTATTCAGTTTGTATGGGAAAAATCACCGAAAGATGTATGTGCAACACTCTCCCCATACAGCTTCAAAGAACTGGACTGCTAATCTAAAATGACTTCCAGGATGACAGAATGGGAATGCACCATATCCAGGGTGGATAAAAATCAATTATTTTTTTTTAAATCAGATTTTTATTTATTAGATATACTTTTCATTTTAAAAATAAACCTATTTAATACTAAATTTGACGACCTATGTTAAGGCCTAAACTTAAATGATTTTAATAGAGTCTACAAAAATTTAAGTAATATATTCAAGCAGTAAATGTTTGCTGCCAAAAGTTTAAAGAAAGTAAGAACAATAAAATGGTGAAAGCACATGGAAAAGACGGTTACATTTCGTAACGGGAGTTCTTTGAAACGTGTTGCTCATGACCATTCCATAGTAGGTATGTGTGCTCACCACATGGACTGGTGCCAGAAATTTTTCCCTCAGTGGTATCTGTAGGGGACCAGCTCTGGCATCGTCTGGAGTGATGCACGTATGCACCGGTATAAGGGGCGTCGCCGGCTTCCCCCCCCGCTCTCCCGAGTTTCTTATTCCCGGAACTGCGACAGAGGGGAAGGAGAGTGGATCATGGAATGGACATGAGCAACACATCTCGAAGAACAACAGTTACGAAAGATAATTGCCTTTTCTTCTTCAAGTGCTTGCTCATGTTCATTCCATTGTAGGTGACTCCCAAGCAGCACCACCAGATGGGTAGGAATTCATGGACGTGTCGATTGCAGCACAGCTCTGCCAAATCCAGCATCATCTCTGACTTCCTGGGTGATGGCATCGTGAACGTGTGTACCGAAGACCACATTGCAGCCCTGCAGATGTCCTGAATAGAAACATGCCCCAGGAAGGCAGCTGAAGACCCCTAAGCCCTAGACAGAACACCAGTAGGAAGATATCCTGGTTAACAAGGAAGTGCAACACCATCTTTGGCAGGACAGCTGGATAGGGCCGCAGCTGGTCATTGTTGTTGTAGAATATTGTCTATGGGGGCTCCAAAGTAAGGCTTGAAGTCTGGGGATCGGGGCATGCCCCATCCCTAGGCTAAGTCCCATAGGGGACTAACTAACTATTTCTAACTTATGCACTAAGGGTACTAATAAACTATACAAACTTCCTAAGAACTATATACAGAGAATCACAACTAGACACAGTTGAGAAGGAATGCTCGCCGAGGCAAGGAGATGTTTCAGCACCATCACTGGCAGTAAGAAAGAACTAGGGAGAGGGGAGCCTGTGGCGCCCCTTATGCTGGTGCCATTCCAGAGGGCGCCAGAGCCGATCCCCTACGGATACCCCCGAGGGAAAAACTTCCAGCACCGGAGCATGTAGTAAGTACACACATCTACAATGGCATGGACATGAACGAGCACTAGAAGAAGAACCAGAGTTTATTGATGTGTTAAACCAGCTTTTCATAGCAGTAGCCTCTTTTGCAGGGGCAAAGAGAATATTTCCTTCATTTCAGGTTATTCAACTCAGTTCAATAACTAGTTCATTTGAAGCTGAGAAACTAATTGGGAGTTGAAAAACCACAAAAGCTTGGTTTCCTCTTCTAATCTATGAATAAGAACTAGGTGTGAGTAGGTAAGATATACTAGATCTAAAACCCTTAACGACATGGTCATCAGAAACAATAATTTAAATTCACTAACTACGGATAACATTTCCTTTGTTTAATTAATCAGTTTTAAATACAAAAACATGTTTTGATAAGCTTACTTTTTTCCTAATTTATCCAGCCCATTTTATTGTTTGTATTAGTTCAATAAAACAATTCTAAAATGCTATTTTGTGCATTTTAATTGATTTCCAATTTCCACCCAAATGCAGCTTGACACAAAATCACAAGTGAAAAATGAAACTTCTATTAAATAACATCATTCACCATTTTCTAATGTAATAAAATGTAAAAATTAAAACTGAATAACTGTATGTTAAGCTCCCTAATTGCTTAGACAAATATATGTAGATATAGTGTATCCTAATGGTCAGCAAAAAGCAGTAACAAATTATACCAATTTTGAAAAATAACTAACAAGTACAAATGCAAAAAATAGGTTAAAACTGACTATTTAAATCAAGGTTTCCTGTTTGCTAATTTAAGTGAAAACTAAAAATCAGTTATTCAAATCACTTTGAGTAGACAAGCCTTTGCTATGCCTCCTATGGCTCATGTGAACAGGGTGGACTGATTTAAATCAAAGTAATTTAAATTCACTAAATCAATCCATCATGTCCATATGAGACATAGGGGGCACAGTTAGGGCTTGTCTCCTCAAAAAAGTATTGGTATAACCAGAATCTGCTTTTGCACAGATACTGATATAGTGGTCCAAAAAGGCTATGTGCACACTTGTTTCTATATAAAAGTCTTGTTTCAGTTTAGTGAAACCTGTTCCTAACTGATTTAAGCTAAGACAGGGGCGGGCAAACTTTCTGGCCTGAGGGCCGCATCAGGTTTCTGAAACTGTATGGAGGGCCGGTTAGGGGAGGCTGTGCCTCCCCGAACAGCCAGGCATGGCCTGGCCCCCGCCCCATCCGACCCCACCCCCCCTCCGCTTCTCACCCCCTGACTCATGCCCCATCCAACCCCCACTGTTCCCTGATGGCCCCCCTGGGAACCCTGCCCCACCCACCTCCCTTGTTCTCGGTCCCCTGACCACCCCCGGACCCCTCGCCCCTAACTGTCCCCTACCACTAACTGCCCCCCACCACCCCATCCAACTCCCCTTCTCTTTCCTGACTGTCCCCTCCCTGGACCCCTGCCCCCATTCAACCCCCCTGTTCCCCGCCCTCTGATGGCCCCAACCCCTATCCACGCCCCTGACCACCCCCCAAACTCCCCTGCCCTCTATCCAATACCCCCCTGCTCCCTTACTGCCCTGCCTGGAGCGCCGGTGGCTGGCAGCGTTACAGCCGCACCGCCCGACTGGAGCCAGCCAAGCCACGGCTCAGCACAGAGCACCGGGTCAGGCCGGGCCCTGCAGCTGTGCTTCCCCAGGAGCTCGCAGCCCCGCCACCCAGAGCATTGCGCCGAGGCACAGTAAGCTGAGGCTGCGGGGGAGGGAACAGCAGGGGAGGGGCTGGGGGCGAGCCTCCCGGGCTAGGAGCTCAGGGGCTGGGCAGGACGGTCCCATGGGCCACCGTAGTTTGCCCACCTCTGAGCTAAGATGCAGTAAACCATTCTTATAGCAAAGTAAGAGTATCACATAGTGTGCATCTACATATCAGCATAGCTATGTCTGTGTAGCTACGCTGACAGAACCCCATAGTCTATTGACTAGTCTACACCTCAAACATAACACTGGCACAGCTGCAGCTGGGCTGCTGTAGTGCTTCATTGTAGACACTACAGCGATGGGGGGGATTCTCCCATTGCTGTAATTAATCCACCTTCCCAAGAGGGAGTAGCTAGGTTGATGTAAGAATTCTTTTGTCCACCTATCACTGTCCTCGCTGGGGGTTAGGTTGGCTTAACTACATCACTCAGGGATGTGGATTTTTCACACCCGAGTGATATAGCTGGGCTGATTTAACTTTTGCATGTATACCTGGCCTATATCAAAGGAAGAGTTTTTTCCATCAGTGTAAGAATAGCACGTCCCCAAAGTTAGCTATGTTGATGGAAGCATTCTTCTCTCAACACAGCTGCATCTACATTGGGGGTTAGGTTGACATAGCTATGTCAGTCAGGGACGTGGTTTTTTCACGCCTCATGTTGACCTAACTCAAGTGCAGACACAGCCACAGCTTTTTGCACCACATTAACTATACAGTAACTCCTCACTTAAAGTCGTCCCAGTTAATGTTTCGTTGTTATGTTGCTGATCAATTAGAGAACATGCTCATTTAAAGTTGCACAATGTTCCCTTATAACATTGTTTGGCAGCCACCTGCTTTGTCCACTTCTTGCAGAAAAAGCAGCCCACTGGAGCTAACTAGTGGGGGCTTGGAACCAGCGTGGACCAGCAGCCCCACATCAGCTCCCCACTCCCCTAAGTTCCTTGTGCAGAAACCGCCCAGCAGGCTATCAATTGCCAGCAGTTCATCTGTCCCTCCCCCCACTACCATGTGCTGCTCCTGCCCTCTGCCTTGGAGCTGCTCCTGGGAGCCTCCTGCTTGCAGTGCAAGGAGGGGGAAAGAGGGGTGCTAATATCAGGTGTCCCCCTCTCTCCACTCCTGTACCCCCATCTCCACAGAGCGGGGGGGGGAACACCACAGGGCTCAGGACGGAGGGAGTCTCAACTTGCCGACGTACTTAAAAAGACAATGTACTTAGAGTGGGTTCAGCGTACTTAAAGGGGCAATGCATGTCTCTCTCTCTCTTTCTCTCACACACACACACACGGTGCGTGTCTCCCCCTCTCTCCATTTATGCTGCCTTGTAGAGTGTGAGGCTACATTAACAACAATGTGTTAACCTTTGAGGGCTCAGCCGAGTGTTAGTTCATCATTTAGCAGCAAGGCATTGCCTGGGAAATATCCCACCCTCTTCCACCCTCCAACTTCACCACCTCAGCCAAGCTTCACAATCATCATTGCTGTGTATTAAATTGTTTAATTAAAACTTACACTGTGTATATGTGTGTATATATATATATATATATATATATATTTAAAATATAGTCTTTTGTCTGGCAAAAAAAATTTCCATGAAACCTAACCCCCCCATTTACATTAATTCTCATGGGGAAATTAGATTTGCTTAACATCGTTTCGCTTAAAGTAGCATTTTTCAGGAACATAACTACAATGTTAAGTGAGGAGTTACTGTATCTATTTAAATTCACATCTTAAATTACACCCATGCAACTTTCTTATGTAAAAAAGCTCTCATGCTCCTTATCTTAATGAGACTCACTTTTGAGACAAATGAAACCATAACAAGAATGGATAAAAAGTAAACTGATTTTCTTCCACTAGATGAAAATATAAAATATGATGCCGAGACCTTTCCTTCAACAAAAGAAAGACAGAATCCTATTCTTTGGGGGTTGCCCATGACCTTGCTGGGTTGATTCTTTAATGTTTCTTTTCAAGGTCTAACCCTCTGACAAGGTCCCTCAGATTGCTGCCCATGGCCTTTTTTTTCTTCTATTTCTCTTTGGTGGTCCCATATACTACCAGCCATTCTTCTTCAACCCAGTTCCACATTTCTCTAGGGTGTCCCAACACAACAAAATATTATTAAGAAAGAGCTCATCTTTCCCCGAAAACTTTCTCCTCTTCTCCTTTACTTCATCATTGTTACCATCACAACTATCCCTCCTTCTATTTCCCAGACATGAAAGCTTGTGTCATCTTCAATCCTTCTTTCCCCCAACTATTCCTTCACCACCAATTCCTTTCCAATATTTTAAAAATTCATCCCTTTCTCTCCATTTGTATAACAAGATGTTAAGCCATGCTCTAACCATTTCATTTTATTGTCTACCATAATCTCCTACTTGCTGGTTTCTCACATGCCCATCTCGCTTTCCTCCAATCTACTGACAACCTTACCCTACCTCTACCCTATCTCCACCTGATTCCCTACATTGGCTTTACTACTTTTGCATCAAGCTCCATGTCTACTCTCCAATTACCAAGCTATCCATAACTTCAATATACCTTTTCTCTGCCATCAACTCTTTCTACAGTCCCCCACCAACCCTCTCTGCTCTCTGAAGTCTGTATACTCACCTATTCCAACCATTTCCTTTGCCCACTGTTGATTTATTTATTTCTTCTATGGTGCCCCTATACCTAGCGCACCACCTAGATCCACTTTATGGATGCCTAAATCCTACTCTCCTTCAAAACCTTCTAAAGCCCCATCTCTTCTATAAAGCTTCCTGACTATAATGCACAGTTCTGCTTTTTATACTGTATTCTATTATACTGTAACTATTCTAACTTTACACTAAATTCCTCAGGGGAAAAGACATATTTGGCATAATTCACCTAGAGGACATAATCCATATACACTAATGGCTTTCTATAACTAAGCAGCACAGATTTTAAGTGTTGAGTTTCAAACGTTTTAAAAGATCTTTGATAAAGAAAAAGAATAATTACGCTATGAAGCAAACACTTGAGGGGGTATATTACACCAACTCAAGGATATGGTGATGTAAGTAGTAATACTACTGCAATGTAACTAAGACTAGATTTCAGGTCACATAGTCTAGGCTTTCAAACTAAAAGTGCCAACTATCCAAAAGCCTTTTATTAGTCACAACACTAGGATAATAAATTTGTACTTTTTAAAGTATAATCAAGAAGTACGATTCCTCCCCACAGAAAATGAAGTGAAATGTTAATGGATAGTTTATGGTAGAAAGAAACCTACCTAAGAACAGCACAGCATGCTTAAAAGAATATCTGCAGTAAAAGTGAACTTACCATTTGTTAGCCTATCAAAAAGAAACATATCAAAATTCCATTTTCCAACTTTCTCCAGCATACACTGAAAGCAAATAAAAACAAACATTTGCATTCAGTATGTGATTAGCATCAAATTACAGCCCACAAAAAAAGCTATTGCTTTCTAAGCCAGCTGTGGATTTTAACATCTATTATTGAAAACAGATTAAAGGTTTACCACTTGTAAACCACATTTTGGTCTGAATGTTTTTCTAGCTAATATTGTTTCAAACTGTTTAACACTTGTCAATGTTACAAATAAAATCACTGTAACTCAAATATTAGATATCTTTTTGACAGAACTGGGCAGTCACCTTTGCTCTTTCCCCTTTTGGTCAAACAAGGGAGAGAAAAATGTTTTAAAAGAAGAGTGGTCACAAGATTGATACTTCAGTACATATTTGAGCCAAAATGCATAATCCAAGAGTTTTCCTGTCCCTCCCTAAACAAAACTGGAGTGAATTCTAAAATGAATCCTAACACAGAGAACTTATGCTCATTTCATTTACAACATGTGAATAATAAGCTTTTATTTGGTAACCAATGAGCAGTCCAGTTTCACACTGAATCAGAATTACTGCTCTATTTTTTTAAGATGACAACATTAAATAAATACTATTGATGTTTAAAAGGGCTTGACAAAAGGAGCAATCTGACAGAATTGGTTCCAATATATCCAGATGTGGGACAACAAAGTTGCACTGCAGAAATTATTAGCCACACAAAGCTCTCCAAATGATTACTCTCAGAGGCAAAAAGCCCCCATTAAAGTAGCACAGAGAAAACAGAAATCTAAGATATTTTGTTAAAATAGTCATTTCATCGCAAGTAACATTTTTGTTCTTAACTTCAGAAAAAAGGTCAATATGAAAAAAACTGCATTAATGATAAAAGAATCCATAAAAAGGGTTTCCATTCACCTCAATAGATTAAGAGGCTGTGTATATAATAAATATGCATTGTATGCAGACGTGTATCTAGTTTGTTTCATAAAAGTATTTGTCTGGAACACCGTATCTGACAAAAGACACTATTAAAGTTTAGCCACCTCCATTGTTATTTCAATCACATTTGATATGATCTGCTGCTTTTATAAAAAGAGAATTAACAGATGTCGTTCTCAAAAAATTAAATGCCTCATAAGATGTGGATATTCAAAAACTATCTCCCAGCACAGAGGTTGTTCTTCCTCACTGCCTATGATTCATCTACCATACTGTTATTTTTTTTCGTTCTTTCTTTTGTTTGTTTGTTTGGTTTGGTTTTGGTTTTACAGGCTAAATTGCATAATCCTGAAGCAAAATTATTTGGGTTGTGGTTTTTTTGGACACAGTACACACTCAGTATAAGCTCACATTTACTTGCACATATCTGTTTATATACTGTTACAGTACGGAAGATATTTGTATTGTTATAAAGCATTCAAATTTTCCTTATAAAAAATTAGGAACAATTTTTAAAAACACACCTTTGCTTGTCCATTATAATCATCATCTAAAATGTTTGAGGAATTTGGAACAGTAATACCACGGAAGAAACGAGACGATCTCAAGTACCGCTGGAAACTAAGTAATCTTCGGATATTCCTTGCAGACACAGACACTTCAATTTCAGAATTTGCTAGAAAATACAAGAAAATAAAGTCTTTCTTAAAATAAGAGAAAAATCTGTGTAAAAAATATTATAACTATATTTTACCAGTGTTCGGTATTAGATGAAGTACAGTTGCATCTATAATAGCTACATCCTCATCAACTAAGTAGTCCCCGAGCTATGTTTCAGACCAAATGTTTCCTATTTAAGCTTACTGTAAAGAGAAATAGATCTATAATCTCTATGCTGGTCATATGTCTTTTAACTAAAAATACAATGTATTCTAAGGAACACTGAAGAATAACCACATGTTGCACCAGCACTGTCAGGTTAGACAGCAGACCTATTGAAAATGGACCATCACAAAACAGTGTTGCAAATGACAATGTTTTCCAAAAACAACAAGTGCAAATACGTAATGACTGCCACCAACCATTTATAAGATACTTACACACTAGGAACTGAACTATGTAAACAGCCATGTAGTGGGATATGATTTCAATGACATTATATGAAGAAGCCATGAGTGTCCAAAAATAACATACAACAAGAACCAAAACCTTGAGACTTTCTGACCCTATAATTAGAAATTGTGTTAATTTTTCAAAAGCATCTGCGACTTAGGTGCTCTTGAGAAATGCTACCTAGAACAAATAATTTTTCCAAACAAGCACCCAAATTTCTACTTATTCCTGGGATGTTCTCAGTGAAAATATGAACAAAGTACCATATCAGAACACAATGGAACCTATAGAGAGACCATTCCTAGCCTGTTTTCAGAGAACAATCCAAAATACTGCCCAAGAATTCTACTCCACCTTTATTAGAACATAACTTTTAGTAAAGCAACTGATTTTTGCTCATCCTCAACCGCAGTTACACTGTGTAATGTACCAAAAAGGGATATCAGGTGGTTTATTTCAGGAACTTCAAGATCAAAGTATGGCTTAAGTTCTCTAAAATGATTTATATATTTTCATCCTTAAACCTTAAAGGGCAAATTGTGCCTTCAGTTTCTTTTGTACAAAACCTCTACAGGCAGCTTCATCTATTAAGAAAAAGTTGACTATTCTTATACTGAAACTGTCATTTTTCTCAGAGAAGTGATCAATAAAATGATTTCATGTTTAAGAAGCTCAGGGTTAATACTCCTATTCCCAAATTACATAGGCTTCAAAGCAGCAAGAACCAAAATTTACAATCTATACCTTTGTCTTTGCCAAAGGGTGGACAGATTAATTTCAGAAACCACTGATACAATGCAGATTAATATTTGTTCTTAAAAAATCAAACATTCTAACAATATTTTGTAAATGAAGGTAGAAGCTGGCCCTTTAAAAAGTCAATTTTATTAATCTACTGAAGCCCAAGAAAGTTACAAGATCATATACACCCTTGTTTAGTTTGATTTATCAAATATGTTATGGTGGCTTTGAAACCCAGTGCCAGATCCTTGTAAATACTTTTTAAGAATCAAAACAGTATAAAGAATTTAAATTACAAAAAAGCTACATATTTTCCCAAACAAAAATATGATTTCAGTGAAACATGTCTTTCAATCCTCTATCTTTGGCTCCTCTTTTTTAAAAAGTAATTTGTCTCTTTAGACACATTTGTCTGAGAATCAAATCTTTTCACCTCTTAAAGTTGTCATGATGCAGAGGAGAGTGAGCAGACCAACAGATATTCAGAACCTAACATTCTTTTCACCTTACATTCTAGAACAAAGATTTTAAAGACATGCAGGGAAAAAACACAACTGAGCTGTGTTGTTTCTTCTGATTATGAAGGCCTTAAAGATGATACATTTGGGGTTTTTAAAATACAGCTTTTTCTTGTTTTACTTTTACTTTTTTAAAATTATGCTGTTTAAGAATATAGGAGGTACCATACTGATTTAGACTAGTCATCTATCAAGTACAGTACCATGTCTTACTGTACTAGATGTTTCAGAGGAAAGCACAAGAAACCTCCAAATAGATAGATTATTCCGTAATTGTGCATGGGGAGGTTTCTTCCTTACCATCTAAGTTTTAAACCTCATTTATTTTATGTTTCAGCAGTCTGGTTCCCTCTTGGAAAAGGGGGAGCCCATTGCTTTTGTATCAGATCTCCCTTCTCCAATAAGTTTCACAATGTCTTTCCTCTTTACATATCTTATCAATGCACTTACGCCTGCTATACACTAAAGTATTACATTTGAACAGTTGCTAACAATCATGATAACAGACAAAACTGAAGGTTTAAGGACATTCATCATTGCATCAAGTAACTGTGATTAAACTTCCAAAGTTGGAAAACTTCTTCAGACATGGTAAAATTTTGTAGTCCAGACTACGACCAAGACACTTGAATTCCTCAAAGCTACTTCTGCACATGGAACTGGAAATATTTCAGATAGCTACCGCAGAACCTTGAAACTAAACATTTTTTTCTAGTAATGTAAATTTAGACTCCAGGTCCTCCCTTCTACATCCCCCTAAGTCACTACATATTGCAACTACTCAACTACTACCTACTACTCAGGATTCACTAGAAGCTTGCCTAGATGTCCAATATCTTCATATCCAATAGGCAAGTCATCAGTTGGCTTTGTCACCACATATCAACCTATCAATATTTCTAATAATCAAATTTCCTGTCACCACATTTTGTGTCTCAGACCTGTAACCCATCTCTTGAAGCAATGCTAGTGCATGAGGAATAAACCTCCTTTACCATTATTGGAAGGTAGCTTCCAGATAAGGGAAATTTTCCCCTCCTTCTTCGTCCTCCTCCTATCACAACACCAATTCTCCAACTTTTACTTGAATGCGATATACACAGAATAACCATCTTAAAAGTACTCAAATTCAAATACAAAATCCAGGAATTTCAGGATAGTCCTTGGTAAAAGAACATATACTATGCATCAAAAAGCTGAGAATTCAGATCACATATAGTAATTCAAACATTATTCCTAATCAACATACATAGTTCTGGCTATAGAATTTACAGTTAACAAAAACACTTGTCATACCACAAGCCAATTTGGCTATCTGTAAGGGAAATGAGGTACTACCCTTTAAATTCCATATAATTTGATTCATTTAAAGATAGCACAGCAGAAATGGGTCTTTGGGGGTATTGTACACTGCATTGTAAATCCAGGTCTGTGGGACCCTGGCCCATGGATTCTGTTTGCAAGCCTGGGCTTAAGAAACCACAGTACACTGTATGCCCATGTTTACAATTGCTGGACATGAGTCTCACACCTGTACTAACATATCCATGCTGCACTACAGACACTGATGCAGATCTGCGGCTTGACCTCCATCCACACTGCAAAATGACAGTGTTTGGATGCAAGTCACAGCAGGACTCAGGATCTTACACACCGCCCTCTAACAGGTTCCTAGGACCAGAGTCCTGAGTGTTTGCTGACCTGGGTTGAATTGATTTGTCTGTAGCTAGAACGGGGACCTGGACTCAAACCTGAGTCAAAGCCCAGGCTTAGTGACATACCCCAAAAAGGACTTAAATGAGGGCAAACTAGGGGCCTTCAGGATGAACTCAAAGAGGTTGTACAATACACAGAGGGCTTTGAGGAAAGCCAGGAGATGATTGTGTGAAAAGTCTGGCAAAGTGGTAGGTGAGCTTGGGAGTAATGCTGGAGGTGACTGGGGCAATACAATCCTTGGCAAAGATGGATAAGAAGGGAGGGACAGAATAGCAGGTTTGAAGGGGGTGACAAGAAGCTTAAACTTAATACAATATTGGATGTGCTGCCAAAAGGAGAAATTCAAGGAAGGGAGTTGCATGATCAAACCAGTAGACAAGGAACAGGAGTTTAAAAAGCAAAATTTTGTATGCACTAAATGAGGGCACTGCATATGCCACGGAGGCCACAGAGGAGGATAGAGCATTAATCAAGGCAGGTATGAGGCAGTGAATGAGAGATTTAGATGTCTGAATGGAAGGAAAAGAATGGGTCTTGGAGATGTGGAAAGAAAAAGGCTACAGGATTGGAAATGGCCTGGATGTGTGGAGCAAGGGAGAGGAAAGTGTCAGAAATGACTCCCAGGTTGTGGGCCTTTGTTCCATGTACTGGAGAATTTGCCAGTATGCCACATTTCTTCCTGTCTACTTAGGTTTTACCCTCAGAGTTACTTTTATTAAAGAAGTCTTATATCCAAGGTTGATCATATTTCAAGATTGTTCCCTGTTCACTGTTTTCTTTGAGATATTCAATACTTCACTTACTTTTGTTTCATAAACATCTTAATGGGAGCAATATCAACAGGGAAGGTAGAAAGACTTCTTTCAAAAAAATACTGCTCTGCTCAATTAAATTTTAGTATGTATGTACATACACCCTTTTGTTAAACAGAAGTATCTACATTAGATGATCCAAAGAGCTAGAAGAAAGTCAGCATTTTGGAATTCTGGACATATGTCCACAAATTTGTCTTTGTTGGAACATCGAAATATTATTCTTTTCCTCTTGTTAAAATGTCAGGTACTGAACATGAAGGGATACATTAGACAAGATGTTCAGATCAAAGCATCTGCACAATCACAATTTAATATATCCAATCCACAATACCCATGTCTTCAGTTTCAGCATTTTTGAATATCAGTATCTTTAGGGGTACATTTCTTTAAGTTCCCTTATGACTGCATTAAAAAATGTATTAAACAGTGTTTTACATGAGGAAATAATTTTTTACAAATATTGAACCTGGTGGTCTTTAAAGAAAGAAGTGGGTCCTACTGTCGGATGTATTGTTTCAGAGCCCTCAGATGTCAAACACTGACCAGACAAGGAAACCAAGATTACCTTAATTTTTGTGTCCTGTTGACCTCTTGCTCAGGGAACCAAAACCACAGGAACTGAACACCTTTAAGTTTTCGAGATATTTTAAAATAACTTTACATTCTAGTTTGTTACTCACATTGTGCTGCTCCATCAAACCCAGGTGCTTTTGGGACCTATTTATTTATCCAGGCTCCTATATCACCACCAACTACCATAACAAAATAAGAGA